TACACAGTCTCAACTATTTTTATATATGTAATGTATTGGCGAGTGTTCTCTCCAGCATCGACATAGCATGTTGCAAAGGGCCATAGTTTTCCATTCCATGGCCCTGGCCCTAGCTGAATGGTGTGTTGGGTTCAGTGTCACCTGGTGACACTTAATGGGGTGGTGTGTTAAACTGCCACAGCTGTGTGCGAATGTTTTTATCGCTCAACAGAGCAATGGACAGGGAGGGAGGCATTTGTGTTACACAAGAACATCTTCATCACTGCAGAGAGATGACAGGCTACGTACAGGAGGGGCTGCCATGTAGAGTAGCATAACCTACTCACAGGCCTCAGTCTCAGTGGGGATCTACTCAGATAAGCACATCGGGCTGCACTACTACGTAAATGTGTTGCTTAAACAGTTTTGGCTTAGTAACATCATTTAAAGAAGGTCAGGTGGTTCGAGCAACCTCAGTCAATGATTATTACTCAGAATAAATCATTTAAAAACAACCAGTTTATCATAGGATATCTTGATAGAAATCATTCCTGTTTTTTTTTCTCGATAAAATAGTAGCCTAACTAAGCACCTGTGGTCTCTATTGTACAGTCACACATTCTTTCTTGGATAATAATTGACAGCATAGAAAAACCTAATGGCAGTGGAAAGTGGGTTGGATAAATTGGAAATGATTAAAAATGTAGAATTGACAGGGAAACCGATAAAACTTTCTCTCCATAAGTAAGAACCAAAAGCCAGAATGATGGAATGGCAGGCTTGAAGGGGAGAAAAAGGTGAAAGACAGATGAAAGTGAAGAGAGATAAAAGCCGGAGAGAGGAGGGTGTGGGATAAAGCAGGAGGAAGGGAGGCAGAGATGAAAGCAAAATGAGAAAGATAAGAACAGAGTGAGTGAGAGAGACAGAGAGGGAAACGGAGGAAGAGATAGATAGTGTACCGAGCAGAGAGAGGGGTAACCATGGAAACAGGAGGAAGGTACAAAGAAGAGATAGACAAAGGGTTTTGAATTAAAGGAATGAAACTTGGATGAAGGAAAAGTAATTCGGACTGAAATGTGTTTCCAGGAGGTGAAGGAATAATACAAAACAGTAAGAAAACCATAGAGGGACAACAGCAGCTCTGTGTGAATGAGGTGGACTCTGCCCAAAACTAGGCACTCCAGAGACCTCTAGTGTTAATAGGTTTCACTGGCTCATTGTAGGCCTCACCTTGAGTAAATCTGGAGGCATGGGAGTAATGTAGGACACTGGCCTCACGCTGCCTCTCTGAACTGTGTGCAAAGTGTCAGGGCCTGTCCACACATAATGACTGGACGGAACTTGATGAGCCTATACCTCGGTTGAGCGATACCTTTACATGTGCTGCATGGCGTAAAGCGTCTTGAGGCTCAAAGTCCTTGGGATGAGATATCTGGGTAGATCTATCACAAACCTCATCTTAAAATGAAGATGTAGGCTATATTTGATAGGAAAATATATGTATCTTTCCTCCATGGTGCCACTTTGTGTTTAGTGACTGATTAAATTAATTTGAGGTCCATGCTATATGCTGTACTGTGGTCTTCTACTCTGTCATAGATGCATACAGAGACTATCTATATATTCATATCCTATTTGTATATCTATATAGAATTACAGGCAGACAGAGGCTTTTTATTCTGTGGTTTTTGAGTCTCTTGTGGCTCTCTTTCTTTCTCCCTTCCCCCTCTCTGTTTTTCTCTTCTCTCTGTCTTTCTCTCTCGTCCTCTGTCTCTGCTTCTCTCTCACTCACTCCCCCTCACTCCCCCCTCTCTCTTGATCTCTCTCTCCTCTCACTCGCTCTCCACTCCCGCTCTCTCTCTCGCTCTCCCATGCCCCCCTCTTTTCTCTCGCTCTCTTATGCTCTCTCTCTCTTCCTCTCTCTCTCCTTTTTCTCTCTTTCCTTCCATAGCTCTGTCTCACTCCCTCGCCCCCCTCTCTGCTCCTTTTATATCCTCCTTGCTGAATGCTCTTCTCCTCTCCTCCCTCAACTCTGTCTTTTCTCCTTTATATTCAGTCTTTTCCCCCAGCTCTCCCACACTCCTTTCTCCAATGTTGTCTCCTAGCAGAGCTATTTCATTCCTAATATTCTGTCTTTCCATTTAGTAGCCCTGTGCAGAATGAGGGGAGTCATCTTTTATTTAGGATTTTGTCTCTGCCCATCTCTGCATCCTGTCTCTGTGTCTGTGAGACTGATTTGTTAGAATAATCTAACAGTACCAAAGGTTATCAAGCTCCTCGGAGGCGGCTCCGGCTCCGGGCTTGACCACCACCCCTCTTCAATCCCCCCGTAGTGCCCCCAGTCCGATCTGACCCAGCTTGCTGGATCAGGACCTCCGACGCGCACCCCTGGCTTGGCGCGTGAGGTAGGAATGGACCAGAACTGGCAGACGATACGCACCCTTTGCCTGGTGCGTGGAGCCGGAACAGGCCTCACCAGGCTGAAGACTCGCATCCCTGGCTTGGTGCGAGTAGCAGGAATGGGCTGGATCAGACTGACGGCTCGCACCCTTGGCTTGGTGCGAGTAGCAGGGACGAGCTGAACCAGGCTGACGACTCGCACCCTTGGCTTGGTGCGAGTAGCAGGAACGGGCTGGACCAGGCTGACGACTCGCACCCTTGGCTTGGTGCGAGTGGCAGGAACAGGCCGGACCGGGCTGGCGACGCGCACCGTAGGTTTGGTGCGAGTGGCAGGAACAGGCCGGGTCGGGCTGGCGACGCGCACCGTAGACTTGGTGCGGGTGGCAGGAACAGGCCGGACCGGGCTGGCGACGCGCACCGTAGGTTTGGTGCGAGTGGCAGGAACAGGCCGGGTCGGGCTGGCGACGCGCACCGTACACTTGGTGCGGGTGGCAGGAACAGGCCGGGCTGGGCTGGCGACGCACACCTTAGGCTTCGTACGTGGAGCAGGAACAGGCCGGGCTGGGCTGGCGACGCACACCGTAGGCTTTGTGCGTTGAGCAGGAACAGGCCGGGCTGGGCTGGCGACGTTCACCGTAGGCTTAGTACGTGGAGCAGGAACCGGCCGGGCTGGACTGGCCACGCACACCGTAGGCTTCGTACGTGGAGCAGGAACAGGCCGGGTCGGGCTGGCGACGCGCACCGTAGGCTTGATGCGAGAAGCAGGAACAGGCCGGGCTGGGCTGGCGACGTACACCGTAGGCTTAGTACGTGGAGCAGGAACCGGCCGGGCTGGACTGGCGACGCACACCGTGGGCTTGGTGCGTGGAGTAGGAACAGGCCGGTCCGTACTGGGAACACACACCACTGGCCTTAACCGGGGATCAGGAACGGGCCGGACCGGACTGGTAACACACCTCAGTCTCTCACGCCGTGCCTCAACTGCTTCCCTCCCTCTACTAGCCAATGGCTCCCGTAATCCGGTAGCCTTCTCTCCACGTCTCTCTGTGGCAGCCTCCTGCTGCCCAGTCACCCAAGCCATGTGCCCCCCCCCAAAAAACTTTTTGGGGTTGCCTCTCGTCCTTCCGACGATGACCCTGCTGACGCCGTTGCTCCTCTCTCGCCAGGGCCTTGATCTTCCCCCAAGGTCCCTTGCCCCCGAGCATGTCCTCCCAGGACCACGATTTGCCCACCTGGGCCATCGCCAGCCTCTCGATCTCCTTACCAGGCGCCTCCTCCCATGTCCAGTCTCTTTGCTCCTGGACACGCTGCTTGGTCCTTTTGTGGTGGGTTTTTCTGTCACGATCGTCTAAGGAAGCGGACCAAGCGCAGGTTGTTTAGCAACAGTTGCTTTATTATTAAGCAACACGAAAACAACACATAATGACGATAGTAAGTCACAGTGACAGAGACTAGGAACAAAAACAAACCAGACAGTTTAATGGCTCCATCAGAGAAACGGCCATCAGCTACACTCGTCTCGATTGGTCATGACAAACAGGAAATACAAACAATACAAAACAACAAGTATAGAAAACCAATGAACACTGGCTCAAACAACACGTCCGGAGCTTGACATCAAAATTGTTAAGGTTTTAAAAACAATTATAATAAATGCAATAGTTGGACAATGGATGAAGATACTCCAAACTTTTTGAATTAAAAAATCCATCAGGTATTGACTGAATTATAGCACATGAAACATTTTACTGGCACGGACAAATAATCAGAGTTCAGGGATGTTGGTGGGAATTCAGGTATTTAATTTATTGTCAAATGTCTTCTTTTTTTTATGCACTCATTTATGCATTTTCTAATGGTATTAGGTATTTATTTTATATTTTGTGTATTTTATATTATGTGCCTAATTTGCATAAAACACAGGTGTATTTGCATATATGAACTCATTAACATAAAGGGCTGGAACAGGGCTGCAACCACCAAAACGTCCTGTCTAGGCCTACCTGCACTCACCTGCGCTGTCTAGACTGCCTCATTCATTATCTTTCTTCTCTTTCTTGTGATGTAAGTGTCGAGATGATATGTTAAATCCCTGACAAAGCTTTAGCGTTCTTATCAATGCAACAGAAAGACAATATATTCAATTGAGCTCATTTCAGTCATTACTGGGGTGTGTTTGACAGGTCATTAAAACATTTCCACTGTCGTAAAGTTAACTGGAAAAAACTACAGGCACAAGCAAGAGTATGAAAGAGTCGCAGGAGGAAAATGAAAGCAATCAATCCAGCGAGATTTAAGGGAATTTTGCATCCCTCAAACACAGGAAATAGATGGCTGAAAAAAGATCCTCAGGTGGGCAGGGCATGTGAGTTGCTAGTTGCTAAAATTGAAAAAAATACTTCAGAGATCTGTATTGTTCAATCAGTAATGCCGCATTTGCTGCAGATACGTGTTTGTTTGCTTGAGTAAGTGTTGTCTGTGTAAGTCATCTATAGGCCAACTTTGCCTGCTTGCAGATCATGCTTATCTAACACGTAAAGTTACTGCATAGTATGTACTCAGTGAGGACTGAGCCCATATCACTGTGTTGGGTGCTCACCTGTCCATGTTTCTGTTTCCAGGGTTCACCTGATAGCAGAGAGCTGGAGAGATGCAGGCATGGTGGGGCAGCTTTTATACCCATTCCAATATTCCATCTGCGACACTCGCATTCAAGCTGTACAATTGTCTGTGCTTATGAAAAAGCCTGCTGTTTTTTGGGGAGAAGCTTAATTATAGCGGCTAATCATGCTTGAGGCACACCATTATATCAGTGTGCCATGCGAGGTGAGGTGAGGCTGGGGTGGCTTTGACTCTGGGCCTGGCTGCTTCCTGGTACAGGTCTGAGATGGGTGGCCAGACAGGCCACTAGACCACAAATAACATTAACCCACAGGACTGATTACAAGCCCAGGTTCAAAACCAGAGCGGGACGTTTTTTTCACATCGTTGTTTCCCAGGGTGTAGACAATCTGAAGGAGTTAACTGGAAAGACACTGGTCAGAGAACTCTTTCTCTACCCCACCTGAAATTTGAATATACACTGAGTATACAAAATATGCTGCTCGTTCCATGAGACTGACCAGGTGAATTCCAGGTGAAAGTTATGATCCCTTATTGATATCACTTGTTAAATCCACTTCAATCAGTGTAGATGAAGGGGAGTAGACAGGTTAAATAAGGACTTTAAGCCTTGAGACAATTGAGAGATGGATTGCGTATGTGTGCCATTCAGAGGGTGAATGGGCAAGACAAAAGATTTAAGTACCTTTGAACTGGGTATGGTAGTAGGTGCCAGGCACAACGGTTTGAGTGTGTCAAGAACTGCAACACTGCTGGGTTTTTCACACTCAACAGTTTCCCATATGTTTCAAGAATGGTCCACCTCCCAAAGGAAATCCAGCCAACTTGACACAACTGTGGGAAGCATTGGAGTCAACATGGGCCAGCATCCATGTGGAACGCTTTCGACACCTTGTAGAGTCCATGCCCTGACAAATTGAGGCTGTTCTGAAGGCAAAAGGGGTGCAACTCAATATTAAGGTGTTCCTAATGTTTTATACACTGTGTATATCTTGAAGTCTTTAGTTGTTTTTTGCAGATGGTTACTAGTAGTTCTAATGGAGGTGCAGACTCAATGTCCAAAGCTTAGCGTTACCCTCAGCTACCATAAGATCTGATGCCATTCTCCCTACTCTGTCACTATGATGAATGAAGATGTCTCTGAAGCACTGGCTATGTGAGCTCATTACACAAGGGAGGTAGGGGAACATATGGAGAAGGAGGGTGTGGGTGTGTTTGTGTTTGTGTGTTTAACAAAGAAACAAAGTAAGATGTTTTGTATGTACAGTCAATACGTGTCCCACAGCATAATTCCATGTCACTATTAGTAGAAGTCCCTCTTCACAGGGTAAGGCTTACCCCTGGCAGCTGAGTCTCTCTCTCTGAGGAAATGTTATCAAATCTGACTCACTGAGATATGATACTGTTGGCTATATTATGGTTCCTCTCTTATAGATCATAGCATGTAAAGAACCAGTCTGTGAGGAAATGTAAAGAGAAACTTATTACAGTAACTCACACAGACACCAATTTCAGAAGTGTGTTGTTTCAGAGCTCCAGGGCAGTGGAGGGAACTGAAAGTGTGTGTTGGTGTCAGTGTGTGCCTGTTCCCCTTCCCAGGCATACACACACACACACACACACACACACACACACACACACACACACACACACACACACACACACACACACACACACACACACACACACACACAGTGGAAACACTGTTAGTAGCTACACCAGTGAGAGCTGGGCCATGGCTCACTTCCCTCTGTTTCTCTCAGTACGGATGCATGTGGAAACCTGTGGAAACACACAGAGAGGTGACATGAGCAGGCTCTCATTATTCATTGTATGTTTCTCTCTCGCTCTCTCTATCATATTAGTGCTGGTTTCCAGCAGCAGCCCCATATGTATAGGCAGATGGGCAACTGGACAGGTTCTGTGTTGTGAAGATGTGGGCCTGGAACGGAGCCAGTGTGTTCCTTCCCCAAACTTTTGTTGTCTCAGTCTTTTTCATTTTCCCCATAGGCTAGTTCTGTGTTTAATGTACATGTCCCTTGTTGTTTCTTCCATGTGGTTTCTTTGTCTTTCAGCCTCTTATCTTTGTTTCTTCCCTTGCTCTCCTTCTATTTTCTTTCCCATTCTCTCTCGACTTCCTGCTATCTCCCCCCCTCACGCACACCCTCACTCAATCTCTCTCTCCCTCGCTCTCACTCCCTATCTCCTTCTCCCCTCTCTCTCTCTCTCCCTCTCATTCTCACAGCAATCCCAACTGCTGATGATTGATCAAGGTTTTCAAGGTTTGCCCTTTCCTGTTATTTAGGAGAGAATATTATGCTCTATACAATCAGGATTGGCATGTGTTCATATAGACTGTGTGTGTGTAACAAAGACACACAGTAAGATACAGTATTTTGCATGTACAATACTTGTCCCACAGCATAATTCATGTCACTATTAGTAGATGTCCCTCCTCACAGGGTAAAGCTGACCCCTGGCAGCTGAGTCTCTCTCTGAGGAAATGTTATCAAATCTGACTATCACTGATCTATCACTAGTGTGTGTTGTGACAGTAGCACTCTGTCAGGGATATTGATCTGTTGTTTCTGAGTTAAAGAGAAGCATGGTCATAATAGCGTACCTGTCTCATTACTAAGATCATCCAGAGTCGGACTACCTAAGCACACACCCAGTGCTCAGCCCGCAGGTACTTTGCCGCACTGTTTCTGAACACAGCCTGAAATAAATCTGGAAGTTCAATAGTTAATGTCTTCCCGTGCTGTTTTTCCTTCGGCTACGAATAGACGCTCCGAGAGAAGATATAGATAGATGAGAGAAGGATCTGACTCTAATTCAGGAACAGAGAGAACGCTCTATATCATTATGACGCCCCTATAGATCTCTCTATCTCTATCATCTATCTATCTCTATCTATCTCTCTCTCTCTCAATCTCTCTCTCTATCTCTCCTCTCCATTCATGCACTCACCTCTTCTCTCTCCTCTCTCTCTCTCCTCTCTCTCTCTCTCTCTCTCTCTCTATCTCTTCTCTCTTCCCTCTTCTCTCTCTCTCATTCTGCAACTTCCCCCCTTCTCTCTCTCTTGCTTGATGGACTCTTTTATTTTCACACTCCACCATCCCCCTTTTTTTTTCTCTTTTTCTCTCTTCTTTCCTCTAGCCCTCCCTCCCCCTTCTCCTTCTTTCACTGCATTTTCTTTCAGCCCTCGCTCTCTCTCTTCCCCACCCCATCTCCAGCACTCCCCCTCCCTCCTCTATTTTCTTTTCTCTTTCTTTCTTTCTTTCTCTTTCTTTTACCACATCCTTTCTTATGCTTTGCTCTCCCTCCCCCCGTCTCTCCTATCCCTTCTTCCTCCTTTTCTGCTGCATTCTGTTTTTCCCTCCTCCTCCCCCATCTCTCTTTCCTCTCTCTCTTTTTCTTTCTGTCTCTCTCACCCCCCTTCCTCCCTCCTCTCTGCCTCATTCCCCTTCCCTCTCCCTCTTTCTTTCTTATTCTCTCTCCCCCACGTCTGTCTTACTCCCTCCCTCTCTTTCCTAACTGCTTTTCTCTCCTTTCTTTCTCCTTCTTTTGTCACTCATTTTTCTACTGAATGTCAGACATGGTACACTTAAAACTGTTTTGCTTTTAATACATTTAATTTAAGAAATAAAGCCAACAAACGACATGTTCTCTAGAAAGTAAATATTTTAGCATATCTCAGTCACTATCTGTGTGACAGCCACTGACAGACACACCTACACCCATACTACTGATTAGATGTTATAATTGTTTGTGTGTTGGAGTATGTTTGCAAAAGGAAATGCAAAGTATGAGTGTGATAAAGAGCAGATAGGCTAGAACTTGGGTTTCTGTGTGCCTCAAAGAGAAATGTGTGTTGAAGGGTCATGCTGAAATGTGTGTGGTGAGAAAGAGAGATAAAATGTGTGTGCTATATGTGTGTGTGTTTGTAGATGTGTATGTGAGAGAGAGAGGGGGGGGGGGAGAGACTAGAGAGAGAATGAAAAAGGAGAGGGGGAGAGAGAGAGCGAGAAGTGAGATGGGAGGAAGGAAGGGGGAGGGAGGGAAATAAAGAAATGGGGTGATACTGTGTGTGTGTGTGTGTGTGTGTGTGTGTGTGTGTGTGTGTGGTGTGTGTGTGTGTGTGTGTGTGTGTGTGTGTGTGTGTGTGTGTGTGTGTGTGTGTGTGTGTGTGTGGGGGGGGGTGGGGAGGCGGGGCAGGCACAGTCAGTTCTGATAACAGCAACAGTAGGAGGAGGATGAGCCGTGGGACCGCCCCACTCTCCCACAGATATAAATAGGAGCTGGATTTTTTTTACTCCACTCAGTTCTCCTGAAGGATGAGATCCCTGAAACACCTCAAACATCACACCAGGAACAATGTGGTGAGTTATTAGCCTAACCTCTGAGACTGTGATTACAATACTAGTTCAGATAGTGAGGTTGTTGTATGTTTTAAAGGTGGTTACTGTGTCTCTCGAAGTCAAAAGAGATTACTTTTCTACATTCATAGAGTACTGCAGCAAGAACATATTTTACAGATAAGACTAGACTGCTAACTATTCTCTCTGTCTTTGTCACACATTTGCTAGGCTATTATTAATAATTTGGTTGTCATTGTTTGACATTTTGTCTTAAACCTGCTTTAACATACAACTTCAAATGTATAACTATGGCTTCTTGCATATACTATCTTGCCTTTCTGTTTCTATGTTATTTGTCTTTCATTTTCCCTGCCTTTCATTTTGTCGTGTTTTTCTCCTTCCTTCCACCCCTCTCTAACTCCCCTCCTTTCTCTCTTTCTCTCACTCACTCACTCTGTCTCTATCTGTCTCTTTCACTCCCCCCACACCCCTCCCTCTCCTTTTCCTTTCTCTCCCTCTCCCCTTCTCTCTCACATGCTCACTCAATCTCTACCTTCCCCTCCCTCCTCTTCCCTCCCTCCCTTCTCTTTCTTTATCTTTCAGGCCCTCCATCTCATTTCTCTCCCTCCCTCCACTCCTCCCCCGCCCACATCTCCCTCTCTTTCTCTTCCTCCCTCTCCTTCTTTCTTTCTTTCTCTCTCACACACACACAGACAGACACACAGACAGACACACATACACACACAGACACACACAGACACACACAGACACACACAGACACACACCCACACAGAGCCACACAGAGACACAGACACACAGACAGACACACACACTCACAGAGAGAGAGAGAGAGATACACACCTCACTCACTCTCTGTGTTCCTCTCTCACAAACACAGTCTGTCCTTGTCTGACTACTTTAAAAGCAGTAATTATAAATGACGTGGTTATCAGGGCATCCAGGTCTACCCAACCCTTCCCTCTTTCCCTTCTCTCTCTCCCCCTCCCTTTTCCCCTCTCTCCATCCTCTCTGTCTCTTTCCTCAGTATTGTATTATTAAAGGTAGCAGCTCATGATCTGTGGGAGTGTGTGTCCTAGACTAAGGTGTAGGCCTATAAAGAGACTAATGTCTTTCTCATGCATTTTCCCATCATTACACCAGATTTGTAGGAAAGACCTGAAAGTATCAGGGTACACTAGTGACCTCTCATTTATCATGGAGCTGAGGCTTGGTCGTGCCAGCATTTAGCTTACTTCTAGTTCCACTCTTTTTTGCCTTTTCAAACATCTAGAGGGGAAACACAATAATTCGTAGTTTATAATGCTGCATTTCAGTTTATACCATAACATTAATATTATGTATAAGTCTTGAATACAGAAAGAATTGAGAGTTCTCCTCTCAATCATATTTTTGTCATGGTTATAACTGAGTCTGTCATATATCACCGTGTTACGGTGTTACGGAAGCCTAGTGGCAGGGCAGGTAAACTGTGAGAGGAGAGTATGTGTTTGTTGTTAGCCTATTGTTAGCAGTGCAAGGCAGACAGCTAGGCTTGCTCCTCGTGAATGGGACTGATAGATAGCCCCAGCCTCCAGCCCATTGATGATGAACCCAGCATGGTCAGCTTGGCCAGGGCCACTCTGGACTACACAGGAAGCTCTGTGGACAGGCCACGGAAGTCCACTTCCTGGTTGGACCTGCATCCCATTTGTGTTCCTTATTATTTTAAAGGATGTCAAGGAAGGAAGCGGGGCTCAGGCACAGATCGGCCTTATCTCCTCCATCGAATGTTCTCTGCTGGATTCAGAGCAAAGAAGCCAGGCGTTGTCAGAATGCGGCTGACTGTCTCTAGCTGGCTAACACTGTCTGGGAAACATTCTTGTAACAGTGGAGTTGTAGGGAAGGAGAGTTGCATAACAAACAAATGTTAGACCACTTCAGGGATCTTAAGGGCTATCCTTAATCCTTATTCCCACCACACACACCTACCATTGATTTCTTAGGAATCCATATCACTTAGAGAGATCTGTTGGTCAGTCCTTGTAGTTAAGCAATATGTGTAAGCAACGTGTCTTATGTTATAAAGCAACCTCACAATGCTGAATACATGTACTTGTGTGATGTGGGCTGCTTCTGTGTGCTGACCTGATCTGTGCTGTGTGTTTGTTCTCTGCCAGGAGGAGGAGAGTGGCCGTCTGGTGCGGTGCTACCCCAAGGTGATGGAGGGCCAGGTGGATGCAGGAACACAGACAGACCCTGTGGTGGTACTGTCTCTAGCCCAGGCTGCTGTCCTGGGCCTCATCTCCCAGAATGAGATCTTTGGAGCCACCATCGCCCCCAACGGCTTCTACATGGGCGAGCCCAGGGAGTATGTCAGGACCCCTCCCCCTCCAGAGGGCATGGAGTATGAGTACGCTGACCAGCTGATTGGGGCCAACGGGGACTACCTGGCTGAGCCTGCAGGGGAGTCGGAGCCCCACAGCAATGAGAGGAGGCGCCCCGGGCCCAGAGGGAGGACAAGGAGGCCCAGGAATGAAGGAGGAGCACCAGGGGAGCCCCCTCACAAGGTCCTCAGCATACAGACTCGGGTCAAAGGGGAGCGGGGAGAGTCTGAAACCCCTCCGTCCTGCATCCACATGGTGAAAGACCCTAGCAGCCCAGGCAAGATGGAGGAGCCAGCCACTCACAGAGGGCCTCTGAAGGAGGAGCAGAGCTGTGGTAACTGTGCTGTGTGTGTGAGAGAGACGTCCAGTCAGACCAAGACAGACGCACGGCCAGAGCAGGGGCCAGAGGAGAGGAGGGGGAGAGGAGGAGAGGGGCAAGAAGAGGAGTTAGCTGAGGAGGACGGAGTATTGAACCTCAAGACTGGAGGAGACCGGGAAGACAGTCCCAATCCCATTAACCACTACTTTGAGTCCAGCGAGGTGGCCTATGAGTCTGCTGACGTGGCCGTGGGGGACTATGACGAGAGCAGCCAGGGCATGCTGTGGGCTGCAGACGCTGAGGGGATAGCCAGGCGCATGCAGATTGACCGGCTGGACATCAACGTCCAGATAGATGAGTCCTACTGCGTGGATGTGGGAGAGGGCCTGAAGAGATGGAAGTGCCGCATGTGTGAGAAGTCGTACACCTCCAAGTACAACCTGGTCACCCACATCCTGGGCCACAACGGCATCAAGCCCCATGAGTGCCTGCACTGCGGCAAGCTGTTCAAGCAGCCCAGCCACCTCCAGACCCACCTGCTCACCCACCAGGGCACCCGGCCACACAAGTGCACCGTGTGTAAGAAGGCCTTTACCCAGACCAGCCACCTGAAGAGGCACATGCTGCAGCACTCGGACATCAAGCCTTACAGCTGCCGCTTCTGTGGGCGAGGCTTCGCCTACCCAAGCGAGCTCCGGTCCCATGAGAACAAGCATGAGAACGGCCACTGCCACTTGTGTTCCCAGTGTGGTATGGAGTTCCCCACCCACGCCCATCTGAAGCGCCACCAGACCAGCCACCAGGGCCCCACCACTTACCAGTGCACCGAGTGCAACAAGTCCTTTGCCTACCGCAGCCAGCTGCAGAACCACCTCATGAAGCACCAGAACGTAAGGCCCTACGTCTGCCCAGAGTGTGGCATGGAGTTTGTCCAGATCCATCACCTCAAGCAGCATGCCCTCACTCATAAGGTACTAATACCGCAGGCCCTCACCGACCAGGTACTGAAACCCCACTGACTTGTGATGTTCCATATATTACGCTATGCTCTAACTCCCCCTGTTCTAACCCCAGCTCAGCGTTTCAGAATAGGCCAGGCTCTCACAGGGTCACATAGGGGTCACAGCAGCTCTAAAAGATAATCAAGAATTCTGCTTCTAATGAATCACAAACCCTTTGATTAATGTGATAAACACTAAGATAAGGGCCATAGCGTGTTGCTCAATATTCCCATAAATTTACAGACTTTAATTAAGAGGCAGAGACAGACAGGGTTAGGTGAACTCAGAGGTATATCAAAATATATAAAGGCTGTTATTCCTATTGCCCGAACCAGTTGCAGTGTAAACATAGCCTTCAAAGTGCTTGGTTCATTGTATTTGGCCTGACCTCTTCCTGTATGTGCTTTGTGCTGTGAGGTGTGTCATACCAACTCATACCTCCTTTTATGCCTGATCCTACAGTCCATGCTCTGATCTCTACCTATGATTCATCCTAGACCTAGAGCCTCGCTCTTAGTAATTATAGTGTCACATTAACAAAGTATTTACTCAAACACTGGCTTACAAATATTGTTATGAATAATTACATGTATTTTTAGTGTTCAAAATCTAGGTTTATCCAAACATTAATGTTAATATTTTAACATGCTTTTCAATACTAAACATGCACCTTTCCATATTGTGAGAGCATCACAGGCTCAGAGAGCCAACACTTGGTGGCGCTAATATGTATGCATCAAGTTGCGGCCATTACGCAAGGATTTCACGTCTACCGTACAGCAATTACACATCTTGCACTGACCTATGATTTCTTTGTGTTTGTGTGTGTATGCTTCTCTATAATAACAACCAATATTTATGTTAATTTCAATGTCTCTGTGAAACCATAGCTTGCTGTTTATCAACAAGAAAATTATCTAATTAACTAAATTGCCAACCCTCTATTTTCCCAGGGTATGAAAGAATTCAAATGTGAGGTGTGTGCCCGGGAGTTCACCCTCTCTGCTAACCTCAAGAGACACATGCTGATCCACGCCAGCATCAGGCCCTTCCAGTGTCACGTCTGCTTTAAGACCTTCATTCAGAAACAGACCCTCAAAACACACATGATCGTCCACCTGCCTGTCAAACCTTTCAAGTGCAAGGTAAGAGGAGTAGGTCTCAATAGACAGCATGGGTTGAGTTCCACAGTTCCTAGAGTGTTGAGAGTATTGTTCTTCTATTGTGTTGCAGGTGTGTGGCAAATCTTTCAACAGAATGTACAACCTCCTGGGCCACATGCATCTCCACGCTGGCAGCAAGCCCTTCAAGTGTCCTTACTGCTCCAGCAAGTTCAACCTGAAGGGCAATCTGAGCCGACACATGAAGGTCAAACACGGCATCCTAGACGCTTCACCAGACGGACAAGGTGACTAACATCAGTACCATACTACTATTGAGTCATACCATCCATCAGTTTGTACCTTATGTCAGTTACGCACCTGACGGCAGTTATGATTTGGTCATGAATTAAGTAATGCAATACCATGTAAAAAATATGTAAATACACTACCGTTCAAAAGTTTTAGAACACCTACTCATTCAAGGGTTTTTCTTTAGTTTTACTATTTTATACAGGTAGTCACCTGGAATGCATTTCAATTAACAGGTGTGCCTTCTTAAAAGTTAATTTGTGGAATTTATTTCCTTCTTAATGCGTTTGAGCCAATCAGTTGTGTTGTGACAAGGTAGGGGGGGTATACAGAAGATAACCCTATTTGGTAAAAGACCAAGTCCATATAAGGGCAAGAACAGCTCAAATAAGCAAAGAGAAACGACAGTCCATCATTACTTTAAGACATGAAGGTCAGTCTTTCAAGAACTTTGAACGTTTCTTCAAGTGCAGTCGCAAAACCGTCAAGCGCTATGATGAAACTGGCTCTCATGAGGACCGCCATAGGAATGGAAGACCCAGAGTTACCAGCTGCAGAGGATAAGTTCATTAGAGTTACCAGCCTCAGAAATTGCAGCCCAAATAAATGCTTCACAGAGTTCAAGTAACAGACACATCTCAACATCAACTGTTCAGAGGAGACTGTGTGAATCAGGCCTTCATAGTCGAATTGCTGCAAAGAAACCACTGCTAAAGGACACCAATAAGAAGAAGAGACTTGCTTGGGCCAAGAAACGCAAGCGATGGACATTAGCCCGGTGGAAATTTGTCCTTTGGTCTGGAGTCCAAATTTGAGATTTTTGGTTCCAACCGCTGTGTCTTTGTGAGACGCGGTGTGGGTGAAAGGATGACGCGGTGTGGGTGAAAGCATGTGTATTTCCCACCGTAAAGCATGGAGGAAGAGGTGTTATGGTGTGGGGGTGCTTTGCTGGTGACATTGTCTGTGATTTATTTAGAATTCAAGGCACACATAAACAGCATGGCTACCACAGCATTCTGCATCGATACGCCATCCCATCTGGTTTGGACTTAGTGGGACTATCATTTGTTTTTCAACAGGACAATGACCCAACACACCTCCAGGCTGTGTAAGGGCTATTTGACCAAGAAGGAGTGTGATGGAGTGCTGCATCAGATAACCTGGCCTCCACAATCCCCCGACCTCAACCAAATTGAGATGGTTTGGGATGAGTCAGACCGCAGAGTGAAGGAAAAGCACCCAACAAGTGCTCAGCATATGTGGGAACTCCTTCAAGACTGTTGGAAAAGCATTCCAGGTGAATCTGGTTGAGAGAATGCCAAGAGTGTGCAAAGCTGTCATCAAGGCAAAGGGTGGCTATTTGAAGAATCTCAAATATAAAATATATTTTGATTTAACACTTTTTTGGTTACTACATGATTCCATATGTGTTATTTCATAGTTTTGATGTCTTCACTATTATTCTACAATGTATAAAATAGTAAAAATTAAAGAAACACCCTTGAATGAGTAGGTGTTCTAGAACCTTTGACCGGTAGCGTTTATGTTTACATTATTTCTCAGATACACTTGAAATTTCAGTGGGCTTCATGTTGCGTTATTGTCATTCAGTCAGTCTGCCCTTAATGCACTTTGACTCAGCATGTACTGTAATCTACTGGCCAAGTGTTTTGGTGCTTCTCTGCCGCTCTTCTCCCTCTGTGTTTTGTAAATATAGAAGTGCTTGGATTAGACATTCCTGTCTCTATCGGTGGAGAGTGATAGGGAGGCAGGGGAAGGGGAGGACTGTGTTGTCCTCTGAGGCTGTGTGTGTGTGTGTGTGTGTGTGTGTGTGAGAGAGAGAGGACAGGATGGGCTCATGTGTGTGTCTTTACATTTCCTTCCTCAGAAGCCCCCCCTGACATAGAGAACCAGGAGGACTACGATGAAGAGAACTTTGAATTCAGCGAACGAGAGAACCTGGCCAGTAACAACACACCAGACATCACTAAACTGTCTGAATTGGAGTATTATAGCAGCTACGCCAAGGGTGCAGGGCGCTACAACACTGCATGAATCATAAAAAAATACCCCATACTGAGTAGAAGTGTAAACTAATAAAGGGAGTTAATGCCGCTAGCAGCTGAAGGCACTGCGATGAGCTTTTACTCTCTGTAGGGGCATGATTTAAAGTGGTGGAATCTGCCCATTCGTATGCACTGGAATCTCTGTTTGCTTGCTCTGACATTCATTGGGAGTGAGAGACAGGTCAGTTGGGATTGTACATTTCTCATCGGCACCTTCTGTTTTGTATTGAAGCGTGACTCACCTCTAGGTGCCACAACATTGTTATTGACAAATGTGTTCACGTGAAAAAGGTAATATGTGAAAATAAATCATCTAACCTCTGGGAGAGTCCTACTCAACATACAGTACCAGTCAAAAGTTTGGACACACCTACTCATTCAAGGGTTTTTCTTTATTTTAACTATTTTCTACATTAGAATAATAGTGAAGACATCAAAACTATGAAATAACACATATGGAATCATGTAGTAACCAGAAAAGTGTTAAACAAATCAAAATATATTTTATATTTGAGATTCTTCAAAGTAGCCACCCTTTCCCTTGATGACCACTTTGCACACTCTTGGCATTCCCTCAACCAGCTTCACCTGGAATGCCTTTCCAACAGTCTTGAGAAGGAGTTCCCACATATGCTGAGCACTTGTTGGATGCTTTTCCTTCACTCTGCGGTCTAACTCATCCCAAACAATCTCAATTGGGTTGAGGTCGGGGGATTGTGGAGGCCAGGTCATCTGATGCAGCACTCCATCACTCTCCTTCTTGGTCAAATAGCCCTTACACAGCCTGGAGGTGTATTGGGTCATTGTCCTGTTGAAAAACAAATGATTGTCCCACTAAGCCCAAACCAGATGGGATGACATATCGCTGTAGAATGCTGTGGTAGCCATGCTGGTTAAGTGTGCCTTGAATTCTAAATAAATTACTGTGTCACCAGCAAAGCACCATTTACATTTACATTTACATCATTTAGCAGCACCATAACACCTCCTCCTCCATGCTTCACGGTGGGAACTACACGAGGAGATCATCCGTTCACCCACACTGTGTCTCACAAAGACACAGCGGTTGGAACCAAAAATCTCCAATTTGGACTCCAGACCAAAGGACAAATTTCCACAGGTGTAATGTCCATTGCTCGTGTTTCTTGGCCCAAGCAGGTCTCTTCTTATTGGTGTCCTTTAGTAGTGGTTTCTTTGCAGCAATTCGACCATGAAGATCTGATTCACACAGTCCCCTCAGAACAGTTGATGTTGAGATGTGTCTGTGACTTGAGCATTTATTTGGCCTGCAATTTCTGAGGCTGGTAACTCTGGGTCTTCCATTCCTGTGGCGGTACTCATGAGAGCCAGTTTCGTCATAGAGCTTGATGGTTTTTGCGACTGCACTTGAAGAAACTTTCAAAGTTCTTGAAATGTTCCATATTGATTGACCTTCGTGTCTTAAAGTAATGATGGACTGTTGTTTCTCTTTGCTTATTTGAGCTGTTCTTGCCATAATATGGACTTGGTCTTTTACCAAATAGGGCTATCTTCTGTAAACCCCACCTACTTTGTCACAACACAACTGATTGTCTCAAATGCATGAAGGAAAGAAATTCCACAAATTAACTTTTAAGAAGGCACACCTGTTAATTGAAATGCATTCCAGGTGACTACCTCATGAAGCTGGTTGAGAGAATGCCAATAGTGTACAATTTTATTTATTTTTATTTAACCTTTATTTAACTAGTCAAGTCAGTTAAGAACAAATTCTTATTTACAATGACGACCTACCCCGGCCAAACCCGGACGACGCTGGGCCAATTGTGCGCCGCCCTATGGGACTCCCAATCACGGGCAGATTGTGATACAGCCTGGAATCGAACCAGGGTCTGTAGTGACGCCTCTAGCACAGGGATGCAGTGCCTTAGACCGCTGCGCCACTCGGGAGCAAAGCGTGGCTCCTTTGAAGAATCTCAAACATAAAATACTTTTTTGGGTTACTACATGATTCCGTATGTGTTATTTCATAGTTTGTCTTCACTATTATGCTACAATGTAAAAAATAAAAACCCTGGAATGAGTAGGTGTGTCCAAACTTTTGACTGGTACTGTACATCCCCAGGGGTGGCCTAACTCTGGAAACACATACATGATAGTGAACTGCACTTACTCAGACAATCCCCAGCAAGTCTGTGTGGATAAATCACAATATGGCTGAGTATTATTGCTTTTATTAACATGTATAGAAATGCATACAGGCCAGTCAAATAAATGTGTCCTCTGCTCATGTCACTTACCAAAGCTGATACCGTTCAAGCAGTTCTCATGTTTGGTGAACCAACCATTTATTTACTTCTCGGTTTAACATTTATACTGTGAGTAGTTTCAACTACAGTTCTAGGTTGCTAAACCTGTTTAGATTACATAGGATTGTTTCATATTCTGTCATATTTGCAATATGCAGAAATAAATCCCATTGTCAAAATATACTAATATTACACAATCACTTTATAGCCCCATGTGACCAGCTTGATTTTAAGTTTCGGTATTTGTCACTTGACCCCAGTCAAATAATTGTATTGACGCAGCCCACATCTTAGTTTATTTTGCTTTTGGCACTCCATTTTCGCCATTGCCCTTCAGATGTAGCCACCATTTACCAAAGAATATGACCAATTCTGGGCCATATTGCCAAACCCTGCAGCTGAAGGCAATAGCAGTCTAGTGGCACCCTTTCTCTGCTTTGTAGAGCTTGATTTCACATTGCCCAATAGCAGACTTCATGTAGTAAAATGTTGGGCTTTGTCCTCCACGCAGTTGATTTTTAGAAAAGATTACCACGGTGAAGACACTAGTGCAGTTTAATTTTCAGGACACTTCACAATTTATTCCCCATGCAAGCCTTTATGGGACATATTACGTTTCTCAACAGCAAATGCGGTTTTCATGGCAAGTCTCAACAGGAACTGTCCTAAAACTTGACAGAAATATTAAGTGCCCTTGTGGGTCTACAGGAGTGTGCTATCCATCATGCTGCACACTGGTCTAAAGTGATGAACGACAACCTCCCAACATGAGACAGGGCCACAGACCCAGCAGAAAATGTGGGAAATTCACTATAATCCGTTTCCCTGCTTAGCTTTACAGACATATCACCTGCAAACTAGGTATCCATACACAATGTTGATATATTGTATTTAATAAACAATGCACATTTATGGAGAAAAAAATCATCTGGCTTTAGTGATGAAACAAGGGGGGGGGGGGGGGGGATCTGAAACTTGAATGGCTTTCTGTGTTACACGTTGTTGTGGAAATATCCTGTTGCTAGAACTGTAAAATGTGTACCAGACAACTGTAAAATAATAAATTTATTTACCTTTAAAATCAGTGTGCTCCTTTTATCATAATATTAAAATAAGGCAGAACACAAGTATAAGATCATACAAGGATAAGCAAATATTCTTGACACGGCCTTCACGTTTCTTCAAAGGCATAATACAGTATCGGAATACAGTACTTAATTACAAAAATAGAACCCTGGAAACATAGGCATAGGAGTGCTAGATGGAACAGATCTCACAACAGTAGAATCCCCTAATCTGACACACTACATTATGCTCTACATATTACTTCAGACAATATGCATGTGGTTATCTTGACCTAAGTTAAAAATGAGGTACAAAAACAGGACAATGTCACTTGCAGGCTAGCTGCACTCTTCAGTCCTTCACTTGCCCAGGGCTTTGTCCAGGTTGTTCTTGATGGTGTCCAGGAAGTCCTCAGTGTTGACGTAGTGCTCATTCAGCTTGCATCTGCAATGGAAGGACAGATCAGAACACAATTTACTCCGTCTTCAGTCAAGACCTTGTCCCTGAGACAGAGTCATGCACACTTCAATGACAGGGAAATCAAATGATTTTATTAGTACAAAAACGCACCAAAATATGACAATGATCCATGCATTAGTAAACATGTTAGCCAGATCAAGAATTTTGTCAATGCAATAGTAATGAGCTCACTTGGAAAGGCCGTGAATGCAGCCGGCGAGGTCCTTAGTCATAACACCACTCTCAACTGTCTCCACACACACCCTCTCCAGAGTCAGGGCGAACCTGCAGGTTAAAAAGAAAAGAGTCAGTAATAGTCACAACAGATGACCTGTGAATCTAAACACTGCCGTTTGCCTGGCAAACACTAATGGAATAGAACAGTGGGATTTATACAGCACAACTGCTTGTTGTATGATAAATAATTCCCTTCATGGTACAGTACATGAAGACTTAAGTTAAAGCCAAACTTGATCAGTACATTATCATATCTAGTGACAATATCTGTAAAAAATACATTTAAATTTAAAAAGAAAAAAGACTAGCGGAATTAATTCCTTACTTGATCAGGTCAGGGTTGCCATCAAGTTTACCCCGATGCTCAAGCCCTCTGGTCCAAGCAAAGATGCTGGCAATGGGGTTGGTGCTGGTTGGGTTTCCCTAAAGGTGGACAAAGGTTACAGTTTAACCATGGAAATACAGGTACAAAATAGGACTAGAACAATCCCATGTTGATGAATCATTTCTTTCAGCCTACGAGGTCATTCTGGCAGCATATTTTCCACCACAAGACGGCACTGTTCATACACAAATCAACCAGGCAGACATTCAAACGGACACTAATTTGACTCCTCCCATACTACTGTTGCATGCGCCATGATTTATGCTTCTCTAAATATGGACCTAGGGTTGTAATGGAGGCGGTTAGTACTAGAGTGACTAACCTTCTGGTGCTCGCGGTAGTGCCTGGTCACTGTACCGTGGGCTGCCTCTGCCTCAATGGTCTTGCCATCCGGACACACCAGCACTGACGTCATCAGACCCAGAGAGCCGAAACCTGTGGAGAACCCGTACAGTATGTCAGCAACCCAGACGGTATGTCAGTCACCCGTAGTCAAACCTGTTACAGGACTATTTTCATCCAAACTAATTTCTATTTCATTTGAAGTGAGGTGTAGATTTCCTAATCCCTCACCCTGAGCTAGGATGTCAGACTGTACGTCTCCATCGTAGTTCTTGCAGGCCCACACAAAGGCACCATCGGACTTCAACACCTGGGCAACCATGTCATCAATGAGCCTGTGCTCGTACCAGATCTTCAGCTTGTCAAACTCTGGCTTGTAATTCCTATGGACACAAACAATATGATAGTGAGTGCAGCAGGGGTGTGAACGTTTAAATGACATTGGGATAGTTAACATTTAGAACAATCTCTAACCGAAAACCTTTTTTACAAAATTAAAATCACAGTGCAGTTATCAAAAAAATACTACCACTAACAGGCCCCAATCCTCATGATTTATTTAATTTGTTTACACAAATACCTAATGCAACAATGCTGTAACGTTATACAGAGATATATGAATCTTTCAAATGATTTGCCATGGGATAAAAAGCGATCCGCACGTCATCGTTGTTAACAGTTGGAAAACTGGAAGAGAGTGAGACAGGTAAGTGACATGAGCTAAGTCCTGTATGGCAACACTAAGTTAAGAGGTGATGAAATGCAAACTTTGCAAGGTGGAGTTGAGCAGTACAGGTGCAATGCTGAAAGGGACGACCCAACCAGTTGCTGGCAGCAGTGCAATAAGAGACTGCGTGAGAAAATCACAGCGCTGATTACAGAAATGATTACAGTTGATATGCAGCCATCGTCAATGGTAGAGGATGTCGGCTTCAATACCCTAACGACATATCTAAAACAAGACTACACATGCCATGTCGAAAAACCGTGACGGCCCTGATGGAGAAATTGTACGATTGCGCTGCAAGTGCAAAGCGCGAGTTTTCAAACACAGTATGTGGCATAAACAGATTGTTGGACATCTAAGAACACGCTGTCATACATCACTGCAATGAGCCATCACATTGATGAGAAGTGGGACATGAAGTACATACGGACAACATGGAGGAGAGGCACACAACCTAAAATGGCATTAATACCACAGTTGCTGAGTAAGTGGGGGACAGCAGTAAAAAAGTAATGTCTGGTAGGGTTTCCACTGCCACAAAGTCTAAATTGTCTATTGTAAAAATTGAGACCAAAAATATAATTTAAGGTTAGGCATAAGGTTAGCAGTGTAGTTAAGTTTAGGATTAAAATCACTTTAAGAAGAGAAATTGAAGAAATAGGCCAGCTTTATGACTTTGGTACCTAGCGATGACTGATATGTATGTAGCCAGGACTGCGGTAGAGTGAACTGCATTGCCCCCAGCGGTCATACGCAGAACCACATCTGAATTGTGAATGTCATTTTATGATTTAACAACGCTTAAAACTATTTTTTAAAAGTGCAGTTTAAACGTTAAGAGAAATTGTACATTTGTCACATCCCTAGAGTGCAGTGCATTACACAATATAAACTATATGTAAGGACCCACATGAACCAGGAAGAAACAACCAATATTTTACTCCGTAACAGGTTGAGGTTATAGAGATCATAAAAAGCAACAAATACTAACGCCTGGTAGATTTCCTCAAAGATGTCCTTGAATCTACCGTCATAGGCTTTGAGAATGGTGTTCTTGGTACTCAGGTAGAGGGGCCACTTCTTGCCAATGGCGTACTGAAAGCAGCTGTGTGCAAAGCCAGAAATAGACTGGTGGAATAGAAAGAACATAGGTCACCCCTAGTGTAGGTCATAAGCAGCAGTACAGAGGTTAACCACCTTCTGGCTATTAACCCCTGATTAGTCCCCACTTCTATTTCCACTAGACAAGTTGAAAGTTCGCCACATGACCTCTGATATTGTCAAATCAAACACTCCTGCTCATGATGGTAAACAAACATGGTAAGGCAGGTTTACAGGAGGTGAACTCACTCCATGCACTACCACTAGAATCTCAAAGAAAAATTATCTAGTTGACAAAATAAAGCTGTTTTAAGTGAATGCCGTGCTGAACTCACCTCATCTGTGTTGTACATGCCCATTCCACAGCCACCTCCAGGAAACTTGTAGACCTCCCACTCCTGGCCTTTGCTCCCATCAGTAGGGGAGAAGACCATCTTGAATGTGCCTGGCTGGCTGATAACAAAGTCTGTTGCTCTGTACTGTAAAACAACGGATCGGTTACAATCACATATACTGAAGTCACAAATAATTACATTTCTTTCATTTAGAAGGAACTTACCTGGTCACCAAAAGCATGTCTGCCAATGGTGATTGGTTGTGTCCAACCTGGAACAAGCCTGGGAATGTTCTTGCAGATGATTGGCTCACGGAAGACTGTGCCACCCAGGATGTTCCTGATGGTTCCGTTGGGGCTCTTCCACATCTTCTTCAGCTTGAACTCTGATGGAAAACCACAGTTTGCACAAAACAGCAATATGGCAACATTTAAACCATCAACCGTAGGTTCCCATTATCGGTTTAACAAAAAAACAAATGGGGCATTTGGAGAAGGAATGAAACTGTTACAGTAAAACTACAAAATACTTATATGCTATTCAAATACCTTCTACTCTTTGTTCATCGGGAGTGATTGTGGCACATTTAACAGCGACATTGTACTTCTGGGTGGCGATGGCAGAGTCGATGGTGACCTGGTCATCAGTCTGATCACGGTATGGCAGACCCAGGTCGTAGTACTTCAGCTCCACATCCACATTGGAGAGGATGAGCTGGAGGGGCAGGACACATTGACAGAGGAATCAGAACTCATTCTTTCCTTACATTGTCAACCGTTCTAAATTTAAATCTGATGTCCTGTCAAGGAAACTACACTGCTCAAAAAAATTAAGGGAACACTAAAATAACATCCTAGATCTGAATGAATGAAATAATCTTATTAAATACTTTTTTCTTTACATAGTTGAATATGCTGACAACAAAATCACACAAAAATTATAAATGGAAATCAAATGTATCAACCCATGGATGTCTGGATTTGGAGTCACCCTCAAAATTAAAGTGGAAAACCACACTCCAGGCTGATCCAACTTCGATGTAATGTCCTTAAAACAAGTCAAAATGAGGCTCAGTAGTGTGTGTGGCCTCCACGTGCCTGTATGACCTCCCTACAACGCCTGGGCATGCTCCTGATGAGGTGGCGGATGGTCTCCTGAGGGATCTCCTCCCAGACCTGGACTAAAGCATCCGCCAACTCCTGGACAGTCTGTGGTGCAACGTGGCGTTGGTGGATGGAGCGAGACATGATGTCCCAGATGTGCTAAATTGGATTCAGGTCTGGGGAACGGGCGGGCCAGTCCATAGCATCAATGCCTTCCTCTTGCAGGAACTGCTGACACACTCCAGCCACATGAGGTCTAGCATTGTCTTGCATTAGGAGGAACCCAGGGCCAACCGCACCAGCATATGGTCTCACAAGGGGTCTGAGGATCTCATCTCGGTACCTAATGGCAGTAAGGCTACCTCTGGCGAGCACAAAGAGGGCTGTGCGGCCCCCCAAAGAAATGCCACCCCACACCATGACTGACCCACCGCCAAACCGGTCATGCTGGAGGATGTTGCAGGCAGCAGAACGTTCTCCACGGCGTCTCCAGACTCTGTCACGTGCTCAGTGTGAACCTCCTTTCATCTGTGAAGAGCACAGGGCGCCAGTGGCGAATTTGCCAATCTTGGTGTTCTCTGGCAAATGCCAAACGTCCTGCACGGTGTTGGGCTGTAAGCACAACCCCCACCTGTGGACATCGGGCCCTCATAGAGTCTGTTTCTGACCATTTGAGCAGACACATGCACATTTGTGGCCTGCTGGAGGTCATTTTGCAGGGCTCTGGCAGTGCTCCTCCTTGCACAAAGGCGGAGGTAGCAGTCCTGCTCCTGGGTTGTTGCCCTCCTACGGCCTCCTGATGTACTGGCCTGTCTCCTGGTAGCGCCTCCATGCTCTGGACACTACGCTGACAGACACAGCAAACCTTCTTGCCACCCTGGATGAGCTGCACTACCTGAGCCATTTGTGTGGGTTGTAGACTCCGTCTCATGCTTCCACTAGAGCAGGGTTCTTCAATTCCGGTCCTGGAGGGCCGAAACACCTCTGTTTTTCATCCTCTCCTTCTAATCAGGGGCTAATTCAGACCTGGGACACCAGGTGAGTGCAATTAACTACCAGGTAGAAATAAAAAACAGAAGTGTTTCGGCCCTCCAGGACCGGAATTGAAGAACCCTGCACTAGAGTGACAGCACCGCCAGCATTCAAAAGTGACCAAAACATCAGCCAGGAAGCATAGGAACTGAGAAGTGGTCACCACCTGCAAAACCAGTCCTTTATTGGGGGTGTCTTGCTAATTGCCTATAATTTCCACCTGTTGTCTATTCCATTTGCACAACAGCATGTGAAATTTATTGTCAATCAGTGTTGCTTCCTAAGTGGACAGTTTGATGTCACAGAAGTGTGATTGACTTGGAGTTACATTGTGTTTAAGTGTTCCCTTTATTTTTTTTAGCAGTGTATGTCCAGTTGCAGATTGTCACAAAGAAAGTTTACCTCCGGTATAAACAGAATGGAAGAGAGAGGATTTTCGCCGCCCAAAATCTGTCCATGTGGGAGTCGGTCTGTGAAAGTGTTGAATTACGTGAGGCGTATTTGATCAAATAGAAGTTTCGTAATGTTTAGGCTGTTATGTACCGATACAAGTGGATCCACGTGGCATTCCAGCAACTGAGAAAAACAACTTAGTTGTACCTGTTCACACGCATATCTGGCCAATCATTGCTAGTATGGTCCCACCTGACTTTGAGGACATTTATCTCCATTGTTGGAGCAGTCACTTGACTATCTTGTCAATTTGATAACCTTCGGTATAATGTATTCAGAGGACAAGAGGATTCCAGACATTGTCTCAACAGTGAACTATGACTGATGGTATGGATGCGCTTTAATCAATGTCCACATCACAGTCCAAGCACATAAGGGTCAAAATAACAGTAAGACAGTCAAGTCAATATTAACAAGAACAATCTTTAAAAATACAATGACTACCATTTAGATCGCGCTCTCCACATTGGTAGATGTAATAATCATATTCTCATTCATGTAATGTGATCCCATGGTTTTACGTGGAACAAAACGCGTTAAACATGTTTAGTCAGAAAACAGGTAATGTTTTTCTCCCATGAATCTTCATGTTCAGACTGATCTCCAGAGGCGAGCTACCAATGAGTGTGAGAAAGTTTACAAAATCCCATCCCCCACAGCATACAGACACTCAATCTATGGGTCAGTCAGTTGTGTAAAAGTAGACTAGTCAGAGAGCAGTCCTCCCCTGGGGCTGACAGACGCCACTGTGTTGTCCCTCTACCCTCCTCCATTGGTCCCAGTTCAGCACCTTCTCTTTGATGAACTCCCAGATGATCCTGGTCATCTCATCTCCGTCCATCTCCACCACAGGCTGGGACACCTGGATACGTTTGTCCCCATCTGTCCAAAATAGAATAGAGTGCATTAATGGAACCGGCAGCCTTTGTCACGGTCTTGACCTACACCTAGTAGTGAGGAGCACCAATGTTGGCCTAATTTAAGTACAAAAACTGCAGCGCAACCAAAGTCTGTCATTATAGCTCATTACCATACATACATATCTTAATCTGTTTGACTGCAACATGCCCACCCAAAAAACTATGACAATCAATACTACAATGTGTACTGGAATATATTCTTTGACAGTCTGAATATGCTAAAATATCACGGAAAGTGTTCCCTGAATAGGCTAATGCTAGAAAACAGTTGGAGAGTCGTGTGATCAAAGTCACCTCATCCTACAAGACACTGCACAGTAATTTGCTCTTCGCGGTTTCATATCTCCATGGACAGTTACAGTGAAGGAAAAAAGTATTTGATCCCCTGCTGATTTTGTACGTTTGCCCACTGACAAAGAAATGATTGATGATTTATAATTTTAAAATGGTAGGTTTATTTGAACAGTGAGACAGAATTACAAAATAATCCAGAAAAACACATGTCAAAAATGTTATAAATTGATAAGCATTTTAAATGAGGGAAATAAGTATTTGACCCCGTCAATCAGAAAGATTTCTGGCTCCCAGGTGTTTTTTATACAGGTAACGAGCTGAGATTAGGAGCACACTCTTAAAGGGAGTGCTCCTAATCTCAGTTTGTTACCTGTATAAAAAGACACCTGTCCACAGAAGCAATCCCTTTAATTCCAAACTCTCCACCATGACCAAGACCAAAGAGCTCTCCAAGGATGTCAGGGACAAGATTGTAGACCTACACAAGGCTGGAATAGACTACAAGACCATTGCCAAGCAGCTTGGTGAGAAGGTGACAACAGTTGGTGCGATTATTCACAAGTGGAAGAAACACAAAAGAACTGTCAATCTCCCTCGGCCTGGGGCTCCATGCAAGATCTCACCTCGTGGAGTTGCAATGATCATGAGAACGTTGAGGAATCAGCCCAGAACTACACGGGAGGATCTTGTCAATGATCTCAAGGCAGCTGGGACCATAGTCACCAAGAAAACAATTGGTAACACACTACGCCGTGAAGGACTGAAATCCTGCAGCGCCCGCAAGGTCCCCCTGCTCAAGAAAGCACATATACATGCCCGTCTGAAGTTTGCCAATGAACATCTGAATGATTCAGAGGAGAACTGGGTGAAAGTGTTGTGGTCAGATGAGACGAAAATGGAGCTCTTTGGCATCAACTCAACTCGCCGTGTTTGGAGGAGGAGGAATGCTGCCTATGACCCCAAGAACACCATCCCCACCGTCAAACATGGAGGTGGAAACATTATGCTTTGGGGGTGTTTTTCTGCTAAGGGGACAGGACAACTTCACTGCATCAAAGGGACAATGGACAGGGCCATGTACCGTCAAATCTTGGGTGAGAACCTCCTTCCCTCAGCCAGGGCATTGAAAATGGGTCGTGGATGGGTATTGCAGCATGACAATGACCCAAAACACACAGCCAAGGCAACAAAGGAGTGGCTCAAGAAGAAGCACATTAAGGTCCTGGAGTGGCCTAGCCAGTCTCCAGACCTTAATCCCATAGAAAATATGTGGAGGGAGCTGAAGGTTCGAGTTGCCAAACGTCAGCCTCGAAACCTTAATGACTTGGAGAAGATCTGCAAAGAGGAGTGGGACAAAATCCCTCCTGAGATGTGTGCAAACCTGGTGGCCAACTACAAGAAACGTCTGACCTCTGTGATTGCCAACAAGGGTTTTGCCACCAAGTCATGTTTTGCAGAGGGGTCAAATACTTATTTCCCTCATTAAAATGCAAAATCAATTTATAACATTTTTGAAATGCGTTTTTCTGGATTATTTTGTTGTTATTCTGTCTCTCACTGTTCAAACAAACCTACCATTAAAATTTGACTGATCATTTCTTTGTCAGTGGGCAAACGTACAAAATCAGCAGGGGATCAAATACTTTTTCCCCCCGCACTGTAGATATTCAGCTCTTAATGCCCATAACTAAAGAATATTGACAGCAATACATTTATATTTTCCTTCATCTGTAGCTGCAATGAATCTTGCCCTCTGATTCACCCAGACTAGTAGTCCAATTATTGATTAGAAAACAAGGCTCTGCTCCCACACGACTCTGCCTTTTAAAGGCCCTCGCCCATTCTCCCAGATACACCATGCAGTGGAGAGGGCGTGGCAAGGGGGAGGTGCAGGGAATCAAGTGACTTTCTGATGTTCCTGCCAAGTCTATGCTTCCACTGCTCCAAAAAGGACATCCAAGAAGAAGTGTAGCGAAACAAAATGGTGGTATTCAGCAGAATGATCAAATACGACCGCCACGTAGACCTATGCTGTACGACAACCTTTATATTAAGTATACACATATGACCTTTACTGCGACTATGCACCTGTCAAAGACAGCCTACTCCAGAACTTGTGGTCATTCACAAATCCTCTCAAGAGGTGTAAAACAAGGCCCAAACCTTGCCCGCACGCAAAGATGGTGACACACAGCTTCGCTTATTCATCTCTGCCGCAAGTCTTAATTTAGGCCTACATTCCTTGGCCATGAGCCAATAAAACAGTAGTCACATACAGTAAAAGGGAGATTATGGATTGCATGCAGTGAACTAGATAACCCAAAGGAAGAATCATTTAGGTCATAAAGCACTTAATCCATTGAGAGCCAATAGTTGACTTTGCTTGACAAGCCATCACAATTGGCAACAATTAGGCCATCCTTCACTTTAAATACTGTAGAGAACATTTAGCAGAAATCATGTGTTTTGAGAACAAGTTTGCCAGGTGTGAAAAGCTTACCGACACTTGGGTGAAGTCTGAATGAGAGATTCACCCCCCCATCCCCCATTACAGTTAAGCTGGGTATACGCTGCACGATTTTGACCCCGATTTAGCTATCCCAGACAAGTTTGAGACAAAATCCCCTTGTCGTTGCCAACTCTGGGTGCGCGGCCGCCACCGAAGCTTGTTTAATGTAAGCAGGTCAGAGACAATCTGACGGCTACTGATCCAGTCTTTGAGCCGTCCAGATATCGGCAAACATTTGATAAAAAATATAGGCAAAATATGCAGTACTCTTGTAAATGGGAAATGTGCAAGGACAAGTTGAGAACGTGATCAGCAATAGACAATGTTAACTCTCCAGAGAAGATGCCATTGTTTACCCAGAATGTGTACTCGAGCAGGTGCGTTGACTACTATACTGAACAAAAATATAAAAAAGGCAATGTAAAGTTGAAAACATGCTTCATGAGCTGAATAAAACATTTTCCATAGGCAAAAAAGCTTGTCATTTTGCGCAAATATTTGTTGACATCCCTGTTAGTGACCATTTCTCCTTTGCCAAGATAATCCATCCACCTGACAGGTGTGGCATATAAAGAAGCTGATTACACAGGGGCACCTTATGCTGGGGACAATAAAAGGCTACTAAAATGTGGAGTTGTCACATCAAGTTGAGGGAGTGTGGAATTGTAATGCTGACTGCAAGAATGGCCACCAGAGCTGTTGCCAGAATGTAAATGTTCATTTCTCTACCATAAGCCACCTCCGTCATTTTACAGAATTGGCCTCAGATGACCCCGCTGGTCTAGAAGCCGGATGTGGAGGTCCTGGGTTAGCTTGGCTACATGTGGTCTGCTGCTGTGAGGCGGCTTATGGTAGAGAAATTAAATATTCAGTTCTCTGGCAACAGCTCTGGTGGACATTCCCGCAGTCAGCATGCCAATTCCATGCTCCCTCAAAACAGCTGTGGCATTGTGTTGTGAGACAAAACTGCATGTTTTAGTGTCCTTTTATTGTCCCCAGCACAAGGTGCACCTGTGTAATAATCACGCTGTTTAACCATCTTGATATGCCCCACCTGTCAGGTGGTTGGATTAGCTAGGTAAAGGAGAAATGTGAACGAACAGGGACGCAAAGAAATTAGTTCACAACATTTGAGAAATAAGCTTTTTGTGCGTCTGGAAAATTTCGGGGATCTTTTATTTCAGCTCATGAACATGGGACCAACACTTTACATGTTGCGTTTATATTTTTGTTCAGTATAGCTAAGTTAACAAATCACATCAGTTTTTCGCGAGAGAGCATTGCAACGAGAATCCTCACGAACAAGTGAAGAATCTTGTCGCGTGACCCCAGTCTTGCCGCAATGCATCATTGGTAGGAAATGTGGGAAAAAAGCTGATGATTACAGAATACCCTAAATCTGTCTGCACAGGCAGGATGGATCAGATTCAATGAAGATAGTGTGGGTAGGGGCATGTGGTTGAAAGGTAAATATATAAAAACTGATAAGCGGTTTCTAAATTAGGCTAACTGGAATCTGTAGTGACAGCTGGACCAAAGCCAGTACATAGGCCTAAATGCCTTTTTACAAGGTATGAACCGACATGCATTTGTGGTTGGCATAGTAAGACAACATGTTCGTTTTTATATTTCAATATACCCAAATTCATTTGCTGAATAAGGCCTTACATACACTGAACAAAAATATAAAAAACACAACATGTAAAGTGTTGGTCCCATGTTTCATGAGCTGAAATAAAAGATCGCAGAAATGTTCCATACGCACAAAAAACGTATTTCTCCAGAATGAATCCCTGTTAGTGAGCATTTCTCCTTTGCCAAGATAATCCATACACCTGACAGGTGTGGCATATCAAGAAGCTGACTAAACAGCATGATCATTACACAGGTGCACCTTGTGCTGGGGACAATAAAAGGCCACTAAAATGTGCAGTTGTGTCACAACACAATGCCACAGATGTCTCAAGTTGAGGGAGCGTGCAATTGGCATGCTGGCTGCAGGAATGTCCACCAGGGCTGTTGCCAGAGAATGTCATGTTCATTTCTCTACCATAAGCCAACTCCAACTTAGTTTTAGAGAATTTGGCAGTACGCCCAACCGGCCTCAACCGGAGACCACGTGCATGGCATCATGTGGGCGAGCGGTTTGCTGACGTCAACGTTGTGAACAGAATTCCCCATGATGGCGGTGGGGTTATGATATGGGCAGGCATAAGCTACGTACAACGAACACAATTGCATTTTATCGATGGCAATTTTAATGCACAAAAATACCGTGACGAGATCCTGAGGCCCATTGTGAAGGCCATTTTTTAAAAGGTATCTGACCAACAGACGCATATCTGTATTCCCAGTCATGTGAAATACATAGATTAGGGCCTAATAATTTATTTCAATTGACTGAGTCAGATGAACTCTAACTCAGTAAAATCAATGAAATTGTTGAATTTATATTTTTGTTCAGTATAAATACAGTGGTGGGCCACCAACTCTGGATTTAAACATTTACCTCAAAGTAAGCTTTCACAAAACAGGTTTATACATAAGTAATCATTAAGGTATGCAAAATATCAGTAGGGGGCCAACAGGGGCACGAGCAAACAGTAGTCACTTGCAACTGGAGGTCTCATTTCAAAGATAGGCCTGTATCACACAAGACAAGCTTTCATACCCATATGACATGCACCTAAGTTGGGAGTAGTCAAGGACAATGCAAACCAAAATATCTACATGCACTTAACTCTTGAAGGTTAACAGATCTTGGCTATGCTTATTCTGCTAACTAAAATATCAGTCAAGCGTGTTTAAGGTTATTTTTTTAACATTCATAAGGTCTAGGCTACATTTCAGGTCATCCGTTTAAAACTGAGCACTTCGCCATCTACTTTCTAAAGCTACTCACGGCTACTCTTCAAAAAGAATGAGATGAGCAAATTAAAGTAGCAATTTGTTTATGCATACGCATTGAAGGAAGTGTGTATGGTACAAACAGACAACCAAAACATTTGTGGGATATTACATGATTTCTATGACTCCATTTTCTGTGTTCTTTTATCTTTATATCACTACTTTAAAAAGTATATGTTATACCAAATAAAATGACAGAAGCAGACCAATGAATTTTGCTCCACGCTTGAAGTGTAGGTCAGTGGAAAGGCAAGTGTGTCAGTTGACAGAACAAATAGCACCTGGTACCATACCCAGTCATGCCTGTATTTAAAAATGCTTCCACTCAGCAAAATTCAAAGCTCCAATTACAAGCAATAAATGCTCCTGGCAGACAAAGTACATCTTGTGACTGTAATAATAAACTTGCCAGTTTGCCAATAACGTTATGAACATGTCAATTGAATCAAAGCAATACAAATTAGACTAATGATATGTTTTTGGCTAAGGAAAATATGAGAGCTAAGACATGAGGTAAAATGTCACAGCAAAAACATCCCCCATAGTTTGAAAGTTTCCATCCATGAGCATTGTAAAACTTTTAAAAAAGACGTGTCGCCTGTATTTGCTTTAAATCAGCCTAACCTTTTTACTTCTGGCCTTACAACCACAACAAGGGTATGACTGGATGGATAGTGGGTTGTTTTAACAGGACCAAAGCCTTTAATATATCTAGAGCCCCTTCATTTGAGTCAATCCTCACAAAATCCCGTACTAGACAGACAGCAGCGGCAGCTAGGTCACTTCTTCCAACACATAAATATCAGGATCAGGATTCAGAGACAACGGTTTGTAAAGCCTACATGTGGGCAGATAGAGGGGACGGTAGAGGGGAAACAAGCTGCCCTTCAACTGACCTGCTACTTTATACAGTGCTTCAAAGTCAAAGAATAGAAGGGGCAGGCATTATAGGCCTAACTAGCTACTGACAAAGTACTATTTTAAATATATCCATATTTTGGATTTTCTAATTTGAAAGATAATCTGGAAGGTTATAGGGCATCTGTAAAGTTATTTGGGAGGTCAAAATTATTTTTTATCAGTACCCGTTTTAAGTTAGTGCCCTCAAACAGCTTTCTAGATAGACTCCACAGTTGCGACATGGTTAATTTATGCTGTTGGTGGGACATAACACTTCTGGCAGACATTTTTATGTTGCAGAGCCTGGTCCCACAGTAGGCTGACCTTCATAAAAGTTTCTTAGCAACAAAAAAAAAGTGGCTAGTGCCAAACAACGGAGGTGTAAACATTTTGACAGCTGTTAGAAACAATTATATCAATGTTTATTCTGCATTTCATACTGACTGACACTATACATTTTTTTCACACCAAAAATACATTATAAATAACTTCACAAACCATGATTGCATTGGCAGATGACTTGTTCCGGTCATTGATTCTATTCAATTGCAAGTTTTACTTGCGTGGCAAATGGTAACGTTAATTGACAGATTTGATATTTTAATATTTGGAATACATTAATCTAATCTCGAGAACTTCATTTAGCCTAATTCGTTGTGATTCGCTCTACTTTAGGCCAAAAAATGTGAATTTTTATAGCCAACAAAGAGCGACAGACAAATCTCTCGACCCTCTCATCCCCTCACTACCGGTTTCTAGATCAGGAAGATGACTCGCCTTGTAAACAAACAAGTCCATTTTGTGCACTGACAGCTAACGTTAGCCATTCACCGAGCAAACGTTGTATTCAGTATGAAAAATGTGTGCACTCACTAACTGTAAGTCGCTCTGGATAAGAGCGTCTGCTACATGACTACAATCTAATATAAATCTGTGCATTCATGGAATAAGTTGTCTAATTGAATAATATTTCGTATTAGTAACAGTTACTTACCCATCAACCAAAATAAACCAACATCTCAAACTGGCCAAATTGTGCGCAAGAGACAGCTAGCTAAAGTAACGGCGAGAAAGCTAAACTGGATAGGCTAACGTTAGTTTACCCGGCTTTGCGGTGTGCAGTATAAAAGCACTTTCTGTATGATTCTGTAAACTATCATGTAACTATGTCAAAGGGCCTCTATTTTGCTAAAAACTCACAGTTCCTCTGTTGCAAACTCTGGCAGGTTGCAGCTGCCGCGAGCACGGCGGGGGTTTTGGAGAGAATGGCCGCGGATCTAGAGAGCGAGCGGAGGACCTTCAAGTATCCAGACATGATTTTCCCAAATTACTTGCAGCTGATATCCGAGAAACTCCGAGCAAAGATTGGCAAAAGAACCCCCGCTCACTGCAATATAGACAACGCCTCCCCACCCACGCTTGACGCTGCGTCAGAGTCAAAGGCGATAGAGGAGGGAGGGACTTCTAATTAACCGTCCCAATCAGCATTAAGTATTCTGCGTTGAGTATTCATTCTGCGCAGCCATCCGTTCTGCTGTCTATACTCCAGACAAGACGCAGTTAACTTTTCAGTTTTATTCATGTGTAGATGTAGACTGTAGACAATGGTCAGCTAGCTACCTTTCAGTTTTATTCATGTTTGATGTGTTAGCTGCCTTGATCATGATATACATAACTGCGGGAAGTAGGGGTGGTGATGGTGCTGCAGCACCCACTGAAAAATCCCCAAAAGTGTTTTCTTTTTGGGGGGAATAATATTTTTTCCACAAAAGTAGTCCACTGGGCCTTTACCAGTCATGTATTAGCCTTTGATATAAAAATAAAGTACACTAAAAGCATTCCAATCCCGATTAAAATGCAATAGCTGTGTACCGTAGCGACCGGCTTTAGGACCATGCGGAGCATTGCTCAGAGAGCAGCTACCAGCCTATGCGCCTTTTCTGTCACATTTAGAAAGTAGATGGCAGAGCCAGTGCCATTTGCTTTGCCGGTCAGCAGTTTAGGCAGTGTGCCGATTGCTTTGAATTTGAATATGTAAGCAATGTTCCCTCAAATGTTTTGGGGCACTGAGCAAATGTTAGGTCTTGTGAAAGGAAACTTGAACGTTGCGTTTACAGTGAACACTGAGGCTGTGCCCTTACGGTTTTTGACAGTAGCCAATAGGATCTTGTGGCTATTTGAGCATAATGTAGGCCTACCCACAAAACCAATAGAGCAAATCCCATAACATTTTCACATGGAAATAGCTTTTGATTTATATGATATAACCTACAGTAGCCTATATTACCGGGGGCAAACTACCGCCCTCCAAGACGCCTACAGCACCCGATGTCACAGGAAGGCCAAAAAGATCATCAAGGACATCAACCACCCGAGCCACTGCCTGTTCACACCGCTATCATCCAGAAGGCGAGGTCAGTACAGGTGCATCAAAGCTGGGACCGAGAGAATGAAAAACAGCTTCTATCTCAAGGCCATCAGACTGTTAAATAGCACATTAGAGGCTGCTGCTGCCTATTGAAATCACTGGCCACTTTAAGAAATGGAACACTAGTCACTTTAATAATGTTTACATATCTTGCACTACTCATCTCATATGTATATACTGTATTCTATTATATAATATTCTACTGTATCTTAGTCCATGCCGCTCTGTCATTGCTTGTCCATATATGTATATATTCTTAAATTCCATTCCTTACTAGATTTGTGTGTATGGTATATATGTTGTGAAATTGTTAGATATTACTTGTTAGATATTACTGCACGGTAGGAGCTAGAAGCACAAGCATTTCGCTACCCCCGCAATAACATCTGCTAAACACGTGTATGTGACAAATACAATTTGATTTGATTTGATGTGGTGTGCAATGCATTCCTACATTGCATGAGACTTTTAAAAACGTTTTTACATTATGAAGGGCTTGACATTAGTTAATACATTTTTACTTGGTCTGTAACACCATGGGCCAAATAGGTGACTGTAAATTGCATTGTATTGTGTTGTATGATGCAAGAACCCACTTTACAAAATACAATTTATTATTATTACCATACAGAGAATTAGACCATGTAGGCTACCCCTCTGACTATTGTCTTATTTGCATATTCAAGCCTGTCTCAAAATACAACACTGCCCCTTTAATTAAGACATAAGCCTTTTACCTGACTCCTTTCAAAGGCAGCTTGAAATGTAGCCTACACCTTTTGTACTCTTGTAGAAAGCAGTAACTCCCCATTGCTGACCTATACTAGCAAAGAATATCAACAAATGTTCACAGGTGCGGCTCTGATCTGAAAAGCGCATTCATTCACTCTGGGGTGATTGAAAGACCCCTCCTGGGCTACCTCCCAATAGAAATCTACTCTTTTGCGCTCTGGCTCTGCACACAACAAAATCACAGACTCCATCTTGCAAAATTAGATTTGTTTTGGTTTGTTGCGTTGAAAAGGGGCTAATATACTGTAATGTTGATTCGATCACAGAAAAAACGTTGATCTATATAGTGAAAACTAATGGGGTGAACTCAGTGAAGTTCAATCTCTTGCGTCTCTGCGCGGCTTGGCGTGGCAGTGCTGGAGGAGGTGCGCAGTTTATGCCTCAATCACACCGACAGGGATATTGTGCAAAATGGTACACAACATCATCTGGATATGTGTGCAACACAAGTTCAACATTCACCTTCTGCTACCATTTCTGTCAAGCCGTCTATGCACAGGCTACAGTTTGATGCATAGGTACGATAAATCCAATGTATGCACCACACAGAACGCACTGCAACACCAAAGGCTGGGCCTAATATAGTGTATAAGAGGTCATACAATACGTTTTGTAGTGATTCTTATGTTGATGATGTAAAGAATATCTGCTTTTCTGTGGTGTGTAATGAGGAGCAACCAAACCTAATATTGGGTTGATAATGTCTAGGGGACATTTTTGTCCTCCCACCCCAGTCTGTGAAAAAAACAGCACGCCAACCCCCAAACTACGTCCCGTAGCTATTATGATATACACAGAATGAGATGCAGCCATGATTAATTTGAATAGAATAAGATGTTTTAGGTAGGCATAATTGACTGTCAGCAGCAGTTAGACCAAAGACATTCTATGCTGGTTGCCCAAATTCACAGTGTAGTTAATATATTCTATGGGTTGATAGGCCCAGATGGGTTGTATATGGACTGGGTTATGGAGCCGAAACAATCCTCTCACATTCCATCTCCTCTGTGAAGGGCTCTAATTTTAGCAGTGGAGGGTTACCATACTGGGAGAAAGAATGGGAAGTGCACAGTCATGTGAGAGTCAAAGCTTGGAAGTGAGCCAGTCCCTCAGTTCAGACCAGGCAGGCAGGTCACCTCCCAAGTCTTCATAAAGTCAGAGGCGGGAGGGCGTTAAAGGACAAAGACACTCGGAATGGACATTTTAATCAACTTATGTGTTTGAGCACAGGTTTTACACACATGCCACAAATAAACTACTTAATTTCCTCCACTAAAAATGTTGATATATATGACATCAGTACTACTTTGAAACTCAGAAGTACACAAATGTATGCATTTGTTTTCTTCTGAATAGATGGGCTTGTGGTTGGTTATCCTCCAGATCCCTGGACAAGATTGACATTTTAGTCATTTAGCAGACGCTCTTATCCAGTGCATACATTATTTTTATTTTATTTTTTCATACTGGCCCCCCCTAGGAAACAAACCCACAACCCTGGCGTTGCAAGCGCCATGCTCTACCAACTGAGCTACACGTTTCCATTTAATTCATTTTCACTCCTATAGTGAAAGGTCAATCAGAGGAGAGGCAGTGCTATGACATAATATGATGACTTGCGTGAGCACCTACCCTTTTGACCCTTAGAATGGAAAAGTATATATATATATATTCCAGACAGTCTGGAATGCAGTTCAACCTATTACGAACAGATCAAGTATTACCCAACAAACTGTGAAAAGGCCCTAAGGTACAAATGTCAGGTACATATCTTTAGGGCACCTTCCGTTCTGGATGGCACAAACAGTAGTCTATCGTCTTGTGACAAATTCAGGGTTCAGAGATAACACAATGTCCAGTTTACCCACATCTCTTTATTACACCTTACCCTAGTGATGATCTAAATCTGGTATAACATACTGTATCATTATACAAACCAGTGAGAGAGAAAAAATCTGGACATTCTACACTTATAGGATCAGTTTCTCCATATGAAAGAGGTTATTATGGCGTAGAAGTAACCCAATAGGCATTAAATAATTAATCACATTGCCTAAATGTGGCCCAAGAAAGATGTTATCTCCTCAGTGTGGTTTTGTATACAGTCTATGGTTTGATCAATCACGTTTATGGGTTTGATTGACTTCCACAATCGGTTGTAGGCCTATGAAAAATTATTTGCCTCCTGTTCCTCAGTTGGTAGAGCATGGCGCTTGCAACGCCAGGGTTGTGGGTTCGATTCCCACGGGGCGCCAGTATGAAAAATGTATGCACTCACTAACTGTAAGTCGCTCTGGATAAGAGCGTCTGCTAAATGACTAAAATGTAAATGTGTTCTATCAGCCTCACCTGCTGGAATAAAATATTAATGATTTTGTATATTGTGAGTGGACGTGGAGCGACCTCTGCTGGATGAATATTGTAGATGAAACAATAGGCAACCCAGCCTATGATTGGTCCAAAAATAATATGAATTAATCTGTACCAATAGGATTCCCCGTTCTGTAACACGTTGTTTCTTTGACCTTCCAGTACTTCCTGATTGCACATTACATCACATTGATAAACAGTTTTATTTCGACAAAGTTGATATGTATGAGATTATTATATATTTTAGTTGAATTAACTAGAGGTTCTTCTGGTTCTTTTCGTTGAATAGACGTGGGCAACATTGAATGAGAGGTTACTTCTACAGTCAGTAGCAGTTAAATAACTGATAACATGCAGAACTACGGTAAAGCAATAAATACTTTTGTTGGACAATATCCGACAGGGATCGCTCTTATCGCAATCACAGGTAAAAACATACTTTTTTAAATTATCACAGGTCCTTCATGAAATGTAACAACAACGTAGGTAACGTAGCAAAGTCGTGTAACTCAATTGGTCCAAAAAAAGCTTTTGATTTAACCTAATTTTAACATTCTGTCAAAGAGCACATGTTCAACTTAATAAAAAACTATTTTACCCATCTCAAAGAGGTTTATATATAAAAAATGACTATAGTAAGTGCATGTTAAGTGCCAAATAAAGTAGCAGGGTTGACCATAACAGGACTGACGATTTAATCTTTAAATCAGCCATAAATCCGCTTGTGACAGGGAGAATGGAAGCTTGTTGTGTTCAACAGGGAGGGGCAATTGAATGCAAGTTTCACAAAACATGTGTTATTGTTTAAACATTTATAGCCTGTCTATCTATAGGTAGCAGGGTTGGCGTGTTATGCTCGAACCGCTCAGTTTTCCACCACAACACACCAGAAAATGGCCCAAAATAGTAAAAACTGTTTACCTGCTTTTACACTATGATTGACTATAAGATGTTTCTTTTGGGAAAAATATAAAATATAAATAGTATACTTAAAATATAAAAGGGATGCAAAAGGCACTATTTTCATGGAACAATCCAGCTACGATCTCTCACTGTAACTGTAAACACTGAGGTATATGACTGTAAAGGCTTCTGTGGGTGGGAGGAAGGGGTCCCTGGTTGTGGCGGGGCGGATGGGGATGTGGGGCTGGCCAGGCAACTCAGGTAGGCTATTAGGGAAGGGAGGGGGATGGAAGCCGGGAGGGGTGGAACATGTGGTACATACATGACGTCCATAACTACCTAATCATCACTGTTTTTATTTGAACTTCATAAAGTGTTTTAGTTTTCAAATCCTTTCTGCAGTCTGATGGACATCCTGACAGATTTCGTCTGTCCCTATTGTGATGTCATCATATCAGATACTGTCTTGCCCTATTCTGATGTCATCACATCAGATTCCATAAAAATAAGAATGTCAGATTCTGTCTGGCACTATTGTAATGTAATCAAATCAGATTCTGACTGGCCCATGTTTTGATGTCATCAGATCAGATTCTGTCTCACCCTATTCTGATGTCATCCCATCAGATTCTGTCTGGCCCTGTTGTGATGTCATCAAATTTGAGAACTGTCTGGCCTTGTTGTGATGTCATCACATCAGAGGTTTTAACATAGAGATCCTATTAAATTATTCTCATTCCTAATTCTATGGGTTTTAAATTCTACCCCCAGAAATTATGTCTAGTGTTATTTTGTTGTGATGTCATCACATCATATTCCCTCTGGCCCTGTGATGTCAAGGATTCATCTGACTCTAGATACTAGATGCATTTTGTTCACCTGGTGTGCTAAGAGGGCGGAGGTTGCATCTTTAGAATGGGACTTCTGAAACCTAACATCAAGTTCACCAATTGTGTCAGACTGAGCTTTTAAAGCTTCAATTCATGTGCAAAATAAATGGAAAATCTTGGATTGTAATGTTATATGCTAGCTATTTCTTTGAATAATTGTCTGACCAAGTTAGTCGGATTGACTTGTAAAGTTACTAAATTATGATTAATCATAACAGTTTATGACTTTTTTAACTATCTATAAGCTACTTTATAAACTACTTATAAACCATTTACAAATAAATTATAAAGTGTACCTCAATGTAAGGTGTTACCATAATATTGTGACAGGAGTGGGGCTCTTTGCTCTGCGTAAATGGCTGGCTGGAGGGGTGTGTACGAGCAAAGCCCGGCTGGACGGGAAGACTGTCCTTATCACCGGAGCCAACACTGGGATTGGGAAAGAGACTGCCGTTGACATGGCTAGCAGGGGTGAGCAACAAGTATTCGACTTCTTCTCTGTTCATTGTAGTTAGACAGTTGATATGATGAGCTCACAGTGTAATGTCTGTTCTGTGTTTGGCCACAGGGGCGAGGGTTATTCTGGCCTGCAGGGACATGACAAGAGCCAATCAAGCCGCAGAGGGCATCAGGAAGAGGAGTGGCAATGGGAATGTGATTGTCAAAAAGTTGGACTTGGCATCCCTACAGTCGGTGCGACAGCTAGCCAAAGAGATCCTGGAAAGTGAAGAGAGACTGGACATCCTTATTAATAATGCAGGTAGAGGGACACTTCCCAGCTAGCACATAACATTATGAGAACCATATGTTTCTTATAGCTTGGTGAGCGCGTGATTGTCCTATAGTTATTTTGCATACAACCTTCCCACAACCTTATGGGAATGGTGCAGGATAGTTGTTTAACAGAAAGTTTCCTAAATGTTTTCTTGTGGTTTTTATGGAACGTTTTCTGAACGTTCTCAGAACAATTTGAGAACATTACTTTAAAAAGAACCATGAGGAAACCTGTAGTAAACGTTATGCTGAAGTACTGAAATTCCCACAGAAGAACGTTGTTTCTTAATGTTCTCTGGACTATTTGACAACCTTCCCAATGTCAAACCAGTTGGAGAATGTTCCTAGAAAATTACCAAAATAGAAATGAAATGTAACCATATTATTTCAAAACATATACATTCCGTTGTCAGCATCAACACAACTCTCTCTATCCTCTTGTTAAGTGTATTCGGGTGATCTTAATGAGTGATTGTTTCCTTTGAAACAGGGTCTGTTTGAATAGACTAAAATGAACAGCTTTGTATGCTTAAAAAAACATGGCATACTAGCTCCATCCTGGTGGCGCAGTGGACTAATTCCATGGATAGAGAACAGAAGATTATAGGTTCGAATCTCACTGATGCCGTGTCACAATATAAAATAAATGTGTTTGCATGATTAATGCCTAAGGAAATTAATTTCCCTGTGTTCTATCTGTGCTTGGAGTTCAGAAAAGCTAACCCAAAATAAGCTATCAGTGTTATTAAACGTCTTGTTGAAACATTCAGTGAAAGTTTTAAGGTAGTTATTAAAAACCTCAAAATAACCTATAATGTCATTAATAAAACCTCCCAGGAAAACTTTCAAGGAACCAGAGTAAAACATTCTCAGAACCTCCCTGCAACCTAAAAGTAAATGTTCCCAGAACAGGCAAAGTTAATCAAAGGTTCAGTTTTACCGCTCAAGAAACGTATGGCTTCGTTCCCACAACCAATGTGAAACCAAAAACAACTTGAGGTGTCATAAAAAAGAAATGCGCCCCCCTCCCCAATGAAAAAAATATTTTCACATTACCCTCCCCTTGTACTGTAAAATAAATTGAACACCCTCCCCCCTCATTGAATTAACTCAAAATAATGTTTACGACCACAAATAACAATAACTGTAGCGACCCTGTGTTTATAAACGTGAATATCTACTGTGGTTTTGTGGCACATTCAATGCCACGCAGGGTTACGGGCCAGAAGGTTGAGGGTTCGCCGACCACCACAGAGGAGCTCACTCTCCCTGCCTGTTTCATTTCTTCACGATCAGAGCTGGTTTCAGACAATGATCAGCTAGGGGAAATCAGATTTTAAACATTTTGATGCCATATTTATAATTCTATAATTATTTTCCACCAATAGGTTTATGTGCCAAATCACCACACAACAATAAACAAAACATACTGACATGGTTTGCGTTTTCAACGCCACAATAAATAGACTGTCAATCTGGACAGAAAACAAATCCCTCCCTAATTTCTAGGCTTACCCAGTATCAAATTGACTTGTTGCAGATAAAAGTCTGCGGAAATACGTAGTGCACATAAAAATACCTTTTGAGGTTAAATTCCCATGTATCGAATAAAAAATGCAAGTTAAATGGGTTTCCATCACATTTTCAACTGCAGGCATACTGATGGGTTTGTCACAAAAAAAAATTGCGTAGGTACAGGTATAGCGAATGTGCCCACTATGGTATTGGCACGTGCGCTCTAGCCAACAGCTTGCAGATACAGTGCAGGTATAGCTTACTACATGATGAGATTATTATGGACAAAATATTATTTTTATTTGTCAAATGGCAGCCAAGCATCTATTGATCATCATGTCACCAGAATAAGACCCTCGATATTTATTGAAAGGAGCATCAACCTCATCACTGTGCCCTTTTACACCGCCCTGTGAAGTTCATCATAATTTATTTAATCTGTAGCCTAATAAACTGCATGCTTTCCCATGATGTGGATAATTTTTTTATCAAACATGTAGGCTACTTTACTCACATAGATTTTTTGGATGGAAACCTGGTTAATGTCAAGGATGCTGGAATTATATTTTGGATGAACGTGCGCATGCCTACAGGATAATTTTTGAAGTAGCCTAATCAGATTAAAACATTGTGACTGGTTGTGTTTATGCCACATATAAAAAGTAATACATTAAACAAGTTAAATGATCAATATTTAGGCTATATTGAAGCATTAGCGTCTAGGTGCATGAGGAATAGCCACTCGGATTGGAGAGGAGGCAGAGCATGTGTTAAGCTTTCCTGAATAACTGGGCCTGCCGGGAGCATATGTGTTCACGTTATTATAGGACGACTTGGGAGAATGGTGATCTGCAACAGACAGCGCATTCAGTATCAGAAGTAAAAATAAAGCCAGACTGGCCTGCTACTGTGTCTTTCTATAAACGGTTGAGAGTAGACCCACAACTGATCCAAATCAAATGAAACATTCAAATCACAGGACATTTTCACTGCAGCCTAGAATAGTCTAGAATGTTGTACTCACTTGAAAACAATATTGCCATTATTCGTTGCATTGAGGTTTTGTAGGCTAGTCTAGGTAGGATAATTGTATTGTCTCTAAACAAGATCAATAGAGGAGATTTTTTATCTGTTTGTCTCATGTCTTCACTGTTCTTTCATGCGCAATGATGCACCTGACCTCTCCACTGCCTATCAGCTATTCCTATTTGTTCTGGTTGATTCATATAAAACATTGATGGAGCTTTTAATGTTTTTATGTGTGGTATGATTGCTAGTTAGCCTATTGCAGATCTGGACAAACAATCCACCTACCACTATTGTCACTATGAATGGTGGATCGAGGGCAGGATAGACCGTTAGACTGGTAGACTACTGACCTGTGGTATAGTAACAGTTAGCACAAAGTGTAGTGCATATGGGAAGTACCAAAACACCTTGATTATAGTGGCGCATGCGAGCAGTTTGGCTAGGATGGAATAAATTATATAGTAAAACCTGCAACTAGCGAATGTAAACCAGGGGAAAAAACGCACTGCCCTCCCCTGTGCCCAAGAAAAAAAAACACAACCCTCCCCAAAGCCCAAAAAAAAGTTTGACAACCCTCCCCTATTTTCGACCAGTAAATTACGATCCGTCCCTTGGCAAGCATGGTAACGTTGCACTATTCAGCTGTGCTCATTGTTAATAGGGTAATAGTTGACTGCCATTCCGCCCGTGGCTAATTTATAGTAAAGGAGGAGGAGTGACATGACGCTGTGCTGTTGATGAGAAGATTGTAAACATTAGAAATAAATTACCACTGTGCCCATAGAAGAGGAAGCAATGTGAATTATATTGTGCTTACTAAATGAAGTTAAGTGAGCTATTCATTCAGACCAGCCTTACTGATTGAACCTACATTATCAACTACATTTCAGAGAGTAGACTAACTTTTCTTCTCTGTGTCTGTTGATAGGTATCATGAGCTGTCCAAAATGGCAAACTGAAGATGGCTTTGAGATGCAGTTTGGTACCAACCACTTGGGCCACTTTTTATTGACAAATTGCCTTTTGGATCTCCTTAAGAAATCAGTCCCAAGCCGTATTGTCAATGTCTCCAGTTTAGCTCATGAAAAAGGTATAACTTTGTCTTTGTCATTTACCATATAAGACAATGATTCAGTGTTTATAGGATATATGATTGATTGCCCAAACAAAATCCATGATTTAGCCTGTAATTGTAGATTTAATTCATAAAGTGTTTTCATGTACAGTGCCTTCAGAAATATTAATACCCCTTGACTTATTCCACATTTTGTTGTGTTACAGCCTGAATTCAAAATTGATTAAATAGATTTCTCTCACCCATTTACTCACAATACCCCACAATGACAAAGTGAAAACATGTTTTAAGTTTTGCACATTTATTGAAAATGAAATACAGAAATATCTCATTTACATAAGTATTCACACCCCTGATACTTTGTCGAAGCACCTTTGGCAGCGATTACAGCTGTGAGTCTTTCTGGGTACGTCTCTAAGAGCTTTTCACTCCTGGATTGTGAAACATTTGGCCATTATCATTTTCTAAAATTTTCAAGCTCTGTCAAATGTGTTGTTGATCATTGCTAGACAACCATTTTCAGGTCTTACCATAGATTTTCAAGCAGATTTAAGTCAAAACTGTAACTCGGACACTCAGGAATACTCACTGTCGTCTTGGTAAGCAACTCCAGTGTAGATTTGGCCTTGTGTTTTAGGTTATTGTCCTGCTGAAAGGTGAATTAATCTCCCAGTGTCTAGTGGAAAGCAGACTGAACCAGGTTTTCCTCTAGAATTTTGCCTATGCTTAGTTCCATTCCGTTTCATTTTTATCCTGAAAAACTCCCCAGTCCTTAATAATTACAAGCATACCCATAACATGATGCAGCTACCACTATGCTTGAAAATATGGAGAGTAGTACTGTAATGGATTTGCCCCAAACATAACACTTTGTGTTCAGGACAAACACAAAGTGTTTTTTTTTTTTTTTGTTATTTAGCAGATGCTCTTATCCAGAGCGACTTAGAGGAGCAATTAGGGTTAAGTGCCTTGCTCAAGGGCACATCGACAGATTTTTCACCTAGTCGGCTTGGGGATTAGAACCACCAACCTTTCGGTTACTGGCACAACGCTCTTAACCACTAAGCTACCTTACTTTATTGCCTTGTTGCAAACAGTATGCATGTTTTTTATTATTTTTTATTCTGTACAGGTTTCCTTCTTTTCACTCTGTCAATTAGGTTAGTATTGTGGAGTAACTACAATGTTGTTGATCCAACTTCAGTTTTCTCCTATCACAGCCATTAAACTTGCCTAGTTAAATATAGGTTAAATTAAATTAAATTGAAAAAAAAGCCATTAAACTCTGTAACTGTTTTAAAGTCACCATTGGCTCATGGCGAAATCCCTGAGTGGTTTCCTTCCTCTCCAGCAACTGAGTTATGAAGGATGCCTGCATCTTTGTAGTGACTGGGTGTATTGATACACCATCAAAAGTGTAATTAATAACTTGCTCAAACGGATATTCAATGTCTACTTTTCTTTATTTATACGATCTACCAATAGGTGCCCATCTTTGCGAAGCATTGGAAAACCTCCCTAGTCTTTGTGATAGAATCTGTTTTTGAAATTCACTGCTCAACTGAGGGACCTTACAGATAATTGTATGTGTGGGGTACAGAGATGAGGTAGTCATTCAAAAATCATGTTAAACACTATTATTGCACACAGTCCATGCAACTTATTATGTGACTTGTTAAGCAATTTTTTACTCCTGAACTTATTTAGGCTTGCCATAACAAAGGGGTTGAATACTTATTGACTCAAGACATTTCAGCTTTTCATTTTTAATTAATTTGTAATAGTTTTGAAAAACATAATTCCACAAATCTCAATTTAATCCATTTTCAATTCAGGCTGTAACACAACAACATTTGGAAAAAAATCAAGTGGTATGAATACTTTCTGAAGGCACTGTACCTTTCCTTGCTTAGTGTTAGTCCACCTTTTGACATTATATCCATATGTGACTTACTATGTGCCACTTTTAAGAATAATTTTTTCAACAGGTGAGATTTATTTTGATGACATAAACTTAGATAAAGATTACAGTCCATGGAAAAGCTACCGGCAAAGTAAGCTAGCTAATGTGCTCTTCACTAGGGAGCTGGCAACACGACTACAAGGTAATTCAACTCCGCTGCACAACATCATTTCATTTTACAGCATGCATTTGGCAGTATGTTAGTAACACTGTTTGGCATAACAAAGGCATGAAGTACAATGTGTGTTGCATCTCTCTTCAATAGAGTGGCAGCAGACTTACTGCATTGAATTAGGCTGATACAAGACATTACCTGTGTTTGTGTGTGTCTCTCTGTAACTGTAGGAACTGGAGTAACTACATATAGCCTCCATCCTGGGGTCATCCGGACTGAGCTTGGCCGGCACTTCTGGCCCGCCATGCCCCTGTGGAAAAGAGCCATCTACAAGCCTCTCATGTTTTGGCTCAAGTCCCCCAGAGAGGGAGCCCAGACCACCATCCACTGTGCTGTAGAAGAAAGCCTGGCAGATGTCAGTGGACTCTACTACAGGTCAGACGCCATCAGAGCTTGTATTTGTCCAACCTTAGCTTCTTTTCACTGTTGGTGTTACTTTGCATGCTTACAGTATATGGATCTTGGTAAGATTAATACTAGGATATATTCAATGTGTGTCATTAACTTTGTGTGTGTGTTTGGAATATTTTTTTCTGTCCTGGTTACAGTGACTGCGCCCCAAAAACTGTGGCCCTTCAGGGCCAGGATGATGCAGCTGCCAAGAAGCTGTGGGACCTGAGTGCCTCCATGGTTGGTCTGGCATGATGGACCTGGTTACCACCAGGACTGGCCTAGCCTTTAGAATGTTGACATATTACCATCTGATGATGATGAACTGTGAAATGCATCCAAACCTCATTGCATTCAGTAAGAAACTGTTGAATGACATTTGTTTAAGTTACATTTATTTAGAATATACAGCAAACTACATACAAAAATACTATGCATCAAAATATGTTAACGTGAGCCTTTTAAACAGAAGGAATGTCACATAATTAAGTTACATGGAAGCTGTATGAACTTTTACTACATAAGTGTAAATTCTATTGTAGAGGAACAAGGATCACTAAAGTCTGTATTTACGTACGTTTGTAGTATACACATTATGTTGTCTTGTCATGGAACTGATGTATGAAAATACATGTGCTATATCTACAAAACATTTAGAGAAACAACATACATTGTTCTCTTGGGTAATTTAAAATGTACGATAATAAAGTGCTGATTTACATAATCTCTTTAATTGTACCTAGCTAAGGCATAAAAATCATATATGATTTGTGTATATTCTGAGCCTTTCATATTGGACATTAAACCAACGGCACTAAAACAAAACATATTGTGGTTGCATTATGAATGATAAATTACTTTTTGATCCACTCTCTTTTCCGATAATTTGTCTGGAAGGCACTGTGTACAAGTTTGCTACAAAACAATCAACCTCAATTTAATACTAAAGCTACAACATACCCCCCATCTGCATGTTGCACTAATAACAACATTCTACACAACTAGATGGCTTGTTGGCTACACATGTACCTCCTACTGTATGTGTTCTTAGGATTGCACATCTAAAGGATTTAATGGACCAAAGAAGATTATTATGAATATACTTGCATTCAAATAATTTTTATGATTTTCAAATGTCTAAAAATGTAATGCTTTTTTTATCACTCAGCCAACCCTGTTCCTGGAGAGCTACCAGCCTGTAGATTTTTGCTCCAACTCTAATAATTAGCTGGTTGATAAGCTAAATCAGTTTTGCGAAACCCTGCAGGAGGGTAGCTCTCCAGGAACAGGGTTAGAGAGCCCTGCTTTAGATGTTGCTAGTGTCTAACCTGTAATGTTGAATAGGTGGTGCTGATATTCTAAGAGCATCCATAACATTTACAACTTTATACCGGTAAGCAAGTTATATCCATGTTACACTGGTTTTCTAAGAGGAAAGGTTGAAATTCCAATTAGCAAAATCAGGACATTTCCTTTAGAAAAGTTACCCTTTTATTACGTTGTGAACATTGCTACATCTACAAACAATGAGTCCCACTACAGCTCCTCAAAAGCAGATAGTTGCTTCATTTGCTCCACTTGCATAGAGTGCCTCCTTACAAGTTTCTTCTTTGACTTGAGCTGGCCTCTCTTTGGTGAGTTTGGTGCTACTGGAGCTATTGATCTGAAACCTGAGGCAAGAGGGGACGAGGGCTTGCTGCTGGCTCCAATGTCGGGGATTGGAGGGTTGGGGTTGACGTTCAGTGGGGGTAGATGGCCAGGCCGGGTATGGGAAATGTAGTCCAGCAGCAGAGTCCCCGAACCTCGCCTCTCCAAGAGGCCTGGTGCGCGGCGACGTGCTGTGCTAGGAGATGACGTGCTGGCATTGCTGTCTAGGGACTCCCTGGAGCTGGTCAGCATGGCTAATGGAGAAGTGTTGAGTTTCCTCCTCTCTAGAGGAACCTTAGGAGAGTCCAGTATGCCAGAGTCTGAGTACAGCTGGGAGTCTGAGTCATAGTGGTCAGTGCCCAGCCGTCTCCTATAGACAGTGTCTCTCAAGCTGGCTGGCACACTGTTGCTGCTACTGTCCTGGTCTGCAGGGACGGTGCTACGCCGGGCCAGGGGCTGATGCTGACACAGAGACCTCTCATATGCCGATTTGGAAGTTAGAGGGACAGACAATGAGGATGACATTTGTGGGAACAACACATCCTTGCCATCCACACTGTTTTGTCGAGACAGGGTCGATCTCTTGGACAGAGCGAGTCCATTGACGCCTGTGACGACCTCATCAGAGGTGGCGCTCTTACTCTCCTCATGGGCCGCAGCTGCAGCCAGGACGGAGGGAGCGATCAGCCCCCAGGGCTCTGACTGCAGACGCTTCAGCTGGGGTAAACGAGCACGCTTGGGGTTGGCTGGTCGCCGTGTGGGAGAGGTCGGCCCGTTGGGAAGCTTTGCTGCTGTGCTGGACGATATTTTCAACTTTGTCTGGAAACTGAAGATAGTGTTGTGCTGATCGGCTGAGTTAGGTGAGGGGGAGGTGTTCAGCTCAATGTCAGAGGGAGTGGTGCAGAATGCCGGGGAGCACCTATCCTCTAGCTCTGGGGAAGGGGGGACATTAAGGTACTGCTTGGTGGTTTTGGTGCCAGAGGGTGACTTGTCTGTGGTGATAATGATGACCTCTTTGCCCTTGGCTTTACATGCGTCTAGGAGAACCTTTAGGGTCTCTTTATCATCTGCATTGACTGCATAGACCAAAGCAGAGGCCCCGCTCCTGTCTTCCAGACTTGGGTCTGCCCCATTGGTCAACAGGTGGGACACCACCTCATGCCCCGCCCTCTGGCTGCAGGCGTGCATCAGGGCTGTCCGGCCTGCTTTGTCCTGGATGTTGGGGTCAGCCTTGTTATCCAGCAGGTACTTGACCAGCTTTGCCTTGCTGACACTCTGTGGGTCGCTGTGTTTGGACATGCAGACCACCATGAGCGGTGTCTCTCCTCGCTCGTTGCTCTCATTGATGTAGGCACCCCCCTCTAGCAGGAGCCTGGTGAGCCGCAGGCGTCTGAGCCACACCGCCTTCAGAAGCGAGTTCCCATCTGTCCGCAGCTCCAGTATGTCTGCCATCATCGCCAAGACAACCACAGATAGCACCCTCCCTCAGTGGTGAAAGGCAGTCACAACCTGCAGCCCTTCAAACAAAGTATTGGTTTATTGCATTATATTTTGTTCAATCTATAGGTCTGCTTACTGATTCATCTAGTATTATCACACAAGGAGTCATCACAATGGATACTTGCCAAGCCTCTCAAGACTACCACCAGGAGGCAGTCTGTGTTCAGTAAAAATCACTTTTGAAGACATGGACAAGTATGGCAATTGTGGATGAAGCTTTATACCTATTTAAGTAGCGTTATTGTCAAAACAGGAAACTAATTGTAGCAATGAAAAAAATATAATTTCGTGAATAGGGCCCTAACCTTTCTATATACCCTGATGAAGACAGCTTGGCTGTCAAAACGTTGGTTATACAATTATTGCATCTGAGCTCCTAGAGTGCGCAGCTCTCCTTTTCTTTTTCAAGGGACCTAATCTTGTCACATGTATCTTCTGTAAGCTTCCATCTCCCTGTGTAAAACATAAATTAGATGGAAGAATGTGCGTTATAGGCTATATGTAGGCTAAACGTTATGTATTTAAATCAAGCAATTTATCTTGAATGTTTTGCTTGCTAGATGGATATATATATATTTTTTTTTTTTATGCTCTGTAGTTGACCAATTAATCCCAGATCCAAGACTATAAATTAATTAGTTATAGTTTTAGATCATAAAATACCAATAAAATAGATCATGACATATGGAGATAATCATATGATTGTAGAAGAAAACATTCTCACCATGAGCGTTAACATCCTAATCATACCATAGCATACATTTACATTTACATTTACGTCATTTAGCAGACGCTCTTATCCAGAGCGACTTACAAATAGGTGCATTCACCTTATAGCCAGTGGGATAACCACTTTACAATGTTTTTTTTTTTTTTTTTAGAAGAGTATAGAAGAGTATGCCTACAGAAAAAACATCTACTTTGAAATGGAATGTTCAGATATTTTTTTTTTATTACAAGACTCGATGACAACTAAGATGCGTCTTCTTCGGGTAGGCTACCTAATGTGCATGATCTGATAAATATATATTACTATCATCCTCGCGCGATCGCCTAGAATAGGCTATAGCGCGTCGCTGTCCATGGTCCTCATTTTGGATTACTTGTTTGAGACGCGTGTCTGGTATAAAACGTTTCACTACAAAATTCATAATCTGTTGCACAATGTAGGCTACTTTTTTTATGCACTTGTAATATCTACTATGATCCCTGTGTCATTAAAATAACAAAGTAGCACAAAAAGGACCACAATTTAAGGTGTTGGTTATATGCTCCTCACGTTTCATATTCTCATTAGCTAAACTATTTTCAATTATCAGATCATAGTAGGCTTCTCAACAAAAAAAGTGTGTGGTCTATATAATGTTAGTTTGAAACCTTGGATATTGGAAATTACATGAATGGTATATTAATGTTGACTATTTATGTTTCTTGCTAAAAACAATCTGCATTCATCCCCATGTTCCTATGCAAAATATCAAGAAGGTTTAACTGTCATTGAAGCATGTAGCTTACCTGATCCAGGCTTGTCATGTTCAAAGGTGCCCCAAATGTTTTGTCATTAGCTATCCTGAAACATAATGAAAATAAAAGTTTTCAAATGGTTCTTCGTTATAGTCCCTGAATTTATTCGGAGCTTCTCAAATACTGTCCTAGTTTAGGTTCAGAGCTCTGGCACCATAGCGCATCATGCTGGTCGCTTTTGTTATGGAAACGCAATAGATCAGTCCAATAGGCGGCATTCCTTTCACTGCGCAAGAATCACAACCTCAAGATACTGGGGGTATAAATAACTTTCTTTTGCCTGGTGAATGAAACGTGCATTTTTCTTGACGTCAGAGTTGACAAAAATAAAGATTGCATCTGGTGAGAACCTGTCACATTTTTCATGTCTGCAGCACACACAAACCAGTTCTACCTTCCAATAAAATGGAAAGTTTAACAGTTTTATAACATGTTTATAATTACTTGTTTTTCTTTATGGCTTAGCCTATATCCCACTACCACAAGATAAGGAGAATCAAGATTCAGTTTATATAAAGGTCATCAAAGTATAATGGAATATTTGTGTACACTGGAAGTTATAGCCTGCAGTTTCAAATGATCATTCACATTAACATCAAAGCAGCACTCCCCAAGAGAGGATGCCTTTCACTTCAGCAGTGATGAATTCATGAACTTCTTAGATGAAAAGATCATGATCATTAGAAAGCAAATTACGGACTCCACTTTGAATCTGCATATTTCTCCAAAGCTCAGCTGTCCTGAGTCTGCACAAAACTGCCAGGACGAATGGAGACACTCAAGTTTTTTTATCTTATATCTCTTGACACATTCATGAAAATAGTAATGGCCTCTAAACCTTCAAGCTGCATACTGGACCCTATTCCAACTAAACTACTGAAAGAGCTACTTCCTGTGCTTGGCCCTCCTATATTGAACATAATAAATGGCTCCCTATCCACTGGATGTGTACCAAACTCACTAAAAGTGACAGTAATAAAGCCTCTCTTGAAAAAGCCAAACCTTGACCCAGAAAATGTAAAAAACTATTGGCCTATATCGAATCTCCCATTCCTCTCAAACATTTTAGAAAAAGCTGTTGTGCAGCAACTCACTGCCTTCCTGAAGACAAACAAATATATACGAAGCACTGAGACCGCACTCGTGAAGGTGGTAAATTACCTTTTAATGGCGTCCCGGATAAAGCACTAAATAAACTTCAGTTAGTGCTAAACACGGCTGCTAGAATCTTGACTAGAACCAAAACATTTGATCATATTACTCCAGTGCTAGCCTCTCTACAGTGACTTCCTGTTAAGGCTAGGGCTGATGTCAAGGTTTTACTGCTAACCTACAAAGCATTACATGGGCTTGCTCCTACCTATCTCTCCGATTTGGTCCTGCCGTACATACCTACACGTACGCTATGATTGAGTGTAGTCTGGCTCAGGGGTGCGAAGGTG